AAGGAAAAACGATGAGAAGAGTGACTTCGTAGAATCTCCTCCCACGAAAATGGCGGCAAACTTTTCTCGAACCCGTAGAGGACTTTTCAGAGATTATAACCACATTTACACCGATAATGATAAGAAAGAGTATACAATCCTACTTTCATCGAACAATGGCCAAAATAACAAAATGGATTTACTCAAAGTTAATAATGTTTTGAAAACTACATCTGGAGTTATCTACGTCAAACAGGTCGGACCTGCACTTGTTAAAGTATTTTTTAACAACAAGAAGGACGCTAATAACTTTTTGCTTAACAAAAAGGCACTGGAAAAATTTGAATGGTTAGCAAGAATTCCATACAATAATCTCGAAAGCCAGGGCATAATACGAGCACCTGTTGATATTTCTGAAGAGGATTTATTAGAAAACTTGAAGGCTGCAACTGATATCATCGGAGTCAAACGTTTCAACCGTAAGATCGCAGATGACTCCTGGGTTCCAACACCGACAGTCTTAATAACTTTTTTAAGTTCAACAGCGCCTGATCACGTCACGTTCGATCATATTTGGTTTGATGTGAAGCAGTATATCAAGCCGTTACTTCAATGTTTCACATGCTACAAATTTGGCCACAGCAGAGGGTCCTGCAAAAGTAAGCAAATCTGTTCAATTTGTACAGGAAATCACTTCTTCAAAGACTGTGACAACAAAGACACTGTCAAATGTGTAAACTGCAATGGCTCACATACAGCAGTTTCAACACTTTGTCCGCAAAAAGCTGCAAAAGTTGCTGAAATAAAAGGGAAAATAAAAGGTAATGTAACTTACGCCACAGTTGCTGCAAAAGTTAAAACTACTTCCGATTTGTATTCTAATCAAATTCCAAACAAAAGGGCTTTATTTAGTGATGTAATTAACTCCGTTGACATATTGGGTGTTATGATTAAAACTGTAATAGATGTTGTTAAATTACATAATACGAAAGATACTAGTAGTCCAGATCCTATCTCTGCAAAATCTATAAAAGAGTTGTTGATTACCAATTTTGCTGCACATAAATAATGGATAGCACTATTGGTGTTGGACAATTAAATATACTACAATGGAATTCTCGTAGCATCTTACCCAAATTAGACCAACTCAAAAATTTTGTTTATAGCAGTGATGTAGATATAGATTTGATCCTCCTCAATGAGACTTGGCTGAATCTTAATAAAATTTTTAGACTACCTGGTTTTAATATAGTGAGACGTGACTCTGACCATCCACATGGAGGAGTTGCAGTGGCAGTTAAGGACAAGTATAGTTTCTCCACTATTGCAACATCTTCAGATTATCATTTTCAAAACATATTAATCTCCCTCAAACTTCATGTATTTTCTGTAGACATATTATGTGTGTATATGCCTCCTCCTCCCAACGGGAAATTTAGAATTCAACAGTTATCAAGTGCATTGACGAAAATCGCTAACAGACATTATTTAGTTATAGGAGACTTTAATGCTCATCATACTTCATGGGGTTCTAGAAATAATGATCGCAGAGGTAATAGCTTACACTCACTAACAGAGACCCAAAACCTAGTCTGCTTAAATGACCACACCACCACTACCTTGGCTCCTTTTGGACAGCAAGGTAATGTCTTGGATTTGGTAATTGCTTCGCAGTCGATAAGTTCCAGTTGTTCATTATCGGTTCTTGATGACCCTCTCAGTAGTAATCACTTCCCGCTTTTATTGAATGTTATTTACAACACCGGCTCCACGGGTGCTGTCACACGAACTCAACCCAATTATGTATCGCCTCCGATAAATTCTTTATCTGAAATTAATTTTAAAAAGATTGATTGGTCTAAATTTACTGAATTGTGCAATGAAAGATTTTCTTTTAATCCCAATACAGATCCATTACAAAATTATAACAACTTTGTTTCTAAATTAGTTGACATTTTATTGACATTCCGTAAAAAAGTATATCCTTGCCACAGAAAACGTAAACCTTTACTGTGGTGGAATGACATATGTAACCAAGTTGTGCTTAGAGCCAAATTGGCATTGAACTCGTTTAAAAAGTATCCCACTATGGAAAATTTCATTTTATACAAGAACTTTGATGCTAATAAAAAAAAAATCCTAACAGAACAAAAAATATTAGCATGGACTAACTTATGCTCCTCTTTTAATCGAATGACTCCCACTAAAGTTATTTGGGACTATATTAGGCGATTCAAATTCTCTAAACTAAATTCAACCGCTAATACTAATACACTTTTTTTGGAAGATCCAGTTAATGCTTTAAACTTTCTCAACAAAATTGCTTCTCGCGACAGCATCGCCATTGATATGCGTGAATTACAAATTTATTTCTTATCTCCTGGTGCTGACTCAGCACAATGGCTCACCTCTAATTTTCAAATGCATGAATTTGATGCTGCTCTCATGTATAAAAAAAATACTTCCCCGGGTCCCGATTTCATTCCTTATTTAGTGATAAAAAAATTACCATCCCAAGCTAAAATCATTCTTCTTAAAATTTTTAATCAATTATGGCTTAATAATTCTATTCCCCCTGTTTGGAAAGATCAACATGTTGTTCCAATTCTTAAACCGTACAAGGATATTCATAGCTTAGATGCATATAGACCCATCTCGTTGACATCGTGTTTTTCTAAATGTTTTGAAACTATGATCAAAAATAGGTTAGAATGGTATATTGAAAGCAACAGTTTGATTCCGGAGTTCCAATTTGGTTTCCGCAAAGGGAAATCCACCATGTATAACTTGGGGTGTTTAATAGGTGATATAAAAAGGAATATGAGGCGTAACAAATACACTCTTGCTGTTTTTTTGGACATCAAAGGCGCATTTGACAATATAAATCATGCATATCTTATCAAGAGTCTCTCTTATCTGGGCATTCCAGGCCCCATTCTATTGTGGATATTTTCATTCTTAAATGGTAGAAATATTTCTTTAAAAATTAAAAATAATCTTTTTGGCTGTAGAACCACAAATAAAGGTACTCCTCAGGGTTCCGTTCTATCACCTTTGATTTTTATATTGAGCCTTGTTAATCTCATGAATCAAATTCCAATGTCTGTGAGATATTCATTTTATGCAGATGACTTAGTAATTTATCTCGAATGCGACAATATATACGTTGGACAAAAAAATATGAACAATTGCCTTTTTACATTACATAATCTATTGTCGACCCAATTAATGTTAGAAGTTAATACAAGTAAAAGTTCAGTCATGCTTTTTGCGGCAAAATGCTCATTTACGCCCAAAATTTATTACAATGACTGTTTGCTTCCAGTCCAATCTAAAGAAAGGTATTTGGGTATTATATTGGATCCTCAATTAACTTGGGAACCACATATTCTACATATCTGCAAAAAGACTGAGTTAGGCTTAAATATCCTTAAATCTCTAGTGGGGTTGAAATGGGGAGCTGATCCCAAGATTTTAAAAGTCTTGTATATTGCTGCCATTCGCAGCCACTTTGACTATGGATGTATGTTTTTTGCCGATGCTGCTAACCATTTACTCAGAAAGCTAGAAATAATTCAAAATAGAGCTTTGCGAATAATTTCAGGAGCTATGATGTCTTCCCCTATTAATTCCCTTGAGGTAGAAACAGGTGTAGTTCCTCTTATTGTCAGGAGGAGCTTTTTAACTGAGAAGTTTTGTCTTAGATTAGTTAGCTGCGACAATCCTGTAATTTGTAGTTTTTTAGAAGACTATGATATTCCTGACTTTAATACAGCTCCTTTAACTGCTACTACGACGCTGAGCCAATCTATTGCATATCTAAATTTTGAATTTCAGAATGCAATTTATTGGTCTCCAAAATTGCCTTGTTTTAACTTCGACTTTCACTGTTTAATTATGGATATATTAGTAAATACATCAAAGTTTAGGAACAAATTTGAATTTTATGAGTTTATAGATGCTAAGAAGGATTACATTAAAGTGTATACAGATGGTTCTAAAACTAAGGATAGGACAAGTTTTGCTTTTTATAATTCTTATTTAAAATGCGGAAGAGTTTTTATTTGTAATAATTTATTTTCTATTTTTTCTGCTGAGGTTTTGGCAATGATTTATGCTATAAACTATATTTTAAATTCTAACTTTAGTATTTCTAAATATTTGATTTTGTCCGATTCTTTGAGTGCACTGTTGTTATTGAAAAATAAGATCATTGATAGCCGTGTTAATTACTTAATTTACTACTTAAGAAATCTAGTTAACGAAATGTGCAATAAAGGTTTCACTATAGAGTTCTGTTGGGTTCCGGGACACTCCGGTATATTTGGAAATGAACTAGTCGACACCCTAGCAAAATCGACAGAAAATGTAGACTACTGTGATTTTAAAGTTCCTCATTCAGACTTGGTTTTATGCCTTAAGGAAAATATGATCAAAAGATGGTGTCTCACTCTAAATTTTACAAGAGAAGTTAAAGGAAAGTGGCTTGCCGAGATAGTCCCGGTGCCTTCAACCAAGGCTTGGTTTGAAAGATATCCCACATATATAGGTAGAGATTTTATAACGACTCTAAGCAGACTTCGCATAGGTCATTGTAAGATCCCTGCACATTTATTTAGGTTAAAGTTAAATAGTAACTCGTTATGTACATATTGTTCCCATAATTACTGTGACCTTAATCATTTGTTTTTTGACTGCCCACAATTTTCTTTACAACGTCTGTTACTTATTTCTTTAACTCAAGACCTTCTCCAATATAAAACAATTCCCAGTACTGTACAGGAGTTTTTAAAGCACACAAGTTTATATAACGTAATATTTGAATTTGTAAATAGCACCTTTAAAATAGTGTAAGTTGTCTATATTTAATTTATTTTTTTAACTTTCATACTGTAGTAGTTAGTTTTTTTTTATGACATTTAAAACTCTGTAATAATTATAATAATTCATGTTTAGGCTGATGGCTTTGCCAAAGCCTTAATAAATTAAAAAAAAAAAAAAAACTGGATTTGTGGTTAACCTCTTATTTGTTTGTAAATTGATAAAATTTTAAATTGTTACTATGAAAGACGTCATAGACGTAATGGCTTTGCAAAGTTCAAGACGTGAGAGGCGTTTGGCAGAATACCGGAGCGCTGCCGGTCACAGTTTGGCCACAAATTTTATATTTGAATGCGGCATCAAACTTGGGTTGCAACCGGCTACTGTGGCTACAGCTGCAATATTTTACCATAAATTCTTCAAGGAAGCAGAGAAGAATGACTATGATTGTTATGTGATTTGTACCGCATGTTTGTGTGCGGCCGGGAAGTCTCGAGATGAGCCGGTGAGGTTGAGAGACGCGGTAAATGTCGCACATAATTCCATAAACCGTGGAGCAGGGCCTTTGGAGCTCGGAGAAGAGTACTGGTCGTGGCGAGGAGCGATCGCTCAGGCTGAATTATTAGTCCTTAGAGTATTGGGATTTAATCTTGACACGCCATCCCCTCATAAGTACTTGCTGCACTATTTGCGTTCTCTTCAAGAGTGGTTTCCGACTTCACAATGGCGAGCAGCGCCTATAGCTCGCACGGCGATGGCGTTCCTGCAAGACTTTCACCACTCGCCGGCAGTTTTAGATTATAAGGCTCCTCATATTGCTGTGGCATGTCTGACTTTGGGCCTATTGGTTCTGGGTGTATCAGTGCCTTTAGCGTCTACCCTAGATGACGATGCAGCTTGGTATTCGGTAAGTTCGCTTAATTACCACTATCTTCTTATTAACCTATTTTGTTACACTGCTATGGCCTCCAAAAGCGTTATGCCTTTTAAATTGTAATAATATCTCAATAAAAAATAGCCAATTTCGTTACTTTTATGGTAATGCTAATTTCAGACTTTTTACTAATAGGTTTCCGTTATCTCTAACCAATATGTCTGTCTATAGCAATCTTTGGGGGAAGCATAGGCCTCCCAGCAGTGGACATCTTCCGGTTGATATGATGCTCTTGAATATGTCTTTATCTCAAAAATGGTGTAAGATAATCACCATCTATATCTCACACATGGAACCAAATACTGTTGGAACTCAAAATTGCAATTGAGAATAGACAATTTGAAAATAAAAAAAATACCTGAATATATCTTACTGCGAATAACAAAAAAAAATTAGATATTAATTATCCATTTATAAATAACCATGTGACATTTTCGACAAAAAGTCGTTAATTTATATAGCTAAGGTAAGAAAATCACTATCTTTCTGCATGTGAATCTCAATAACAAAAAAGCTTATAAACTTGGAGTTTTATTTGCAGAAATATGTTAAATTTCTTACAACTGGTACATAATTTGGAGATTTTTTTGTAGAAAATGTCACTTGTGTAGTTTTATCTTTAAGCAGACAATATATATTGGTATCCTTCTTTTTTTTAATTTCAAATGTGTTTTTTAAGTTACACAGTTTTGAGCTATGACAAACCAATCTGGATCATTGGTATTAAGAGTAAAAACGAAAGCAATGCAACATTGACCTACCAATAAATGGACGTCAGGTTCGCGCTAAAAAGTGTCCGCACCTGTAGGGCGTTAAAATCGCATACAGAGCGTCAATCGCGCAATAGTCTTAAATTGTTCGAGTGACAGTGCGGTTGCCAGTCATGCAGTACAAATAATAACTTGTAAACATTACTGCAGTAAAGTGTGAAAACAGGATTTTGTATCATATTTTCACTAAACAAATATATTGTGTTATCATAGTTGTCATTTAAAAGTGTTATTTTGTACAGTTTTAAAGCACACGAAATAATGAAATAGCCAACTCTCCTTTTTCTACTCATTGCATGTGCAAAAGATGGAAAGAGACCCATTACGTCAGTTTCAAGAAGCTTATATAAACTTCTTGGTCATTTTCAATTGTTCGAACCACAAGCAATTGAAATATTTAGAACAAACAAACTGTAGAGTTGCTTTGATTTTAATCGTATTTTTAAAATGATTTTTTTATTAAACATTAGCAATAACTAACAAAATATTGTTGTACTCGTTTTACGGCATGGGATTACCTATCGGAAGTCAGAAAATACATTTGCCCGAAATAACATTACCTTGAATTTTCATAGTGTTTTTACGAAGATTACAAAACAAAAGCTAATTTTGTCTATGTAAAAAGGCATCAAAACTACTCGAAAGCGTAACGGATTTGTTATAAATCAGAATTACGGATATTTGAGTTTATGTTTAGTTAGAATATTGGTACATTTTTTATAGTACATGCTTATTTTCACATTTGTAGTAATAATTCTATGTATGTATCTGCCCAACTCTTTATTATACCTTTAAGTGAAAGTTGTACAAAATTCGACATAATAATATATATAAAGAAATTAATTAACATTTACGAGAAAGGCTATTTATTCCATTACTCTTGTGTTCAAGTAATTTTCAGTTGAAGCTAAATGTGGTGCATTTTGTAAAGTTTCCAGTAGAAGCTGAATATGATGATTTTGGGCCCTTAAATTGTTGTAAGCAAATTTAGGCAGTACTGCAATGACGTTACAATTTAAATTAAATGTTTTAGTTTTTTTATATTTCGTTACGTGTGACTACATTTGTATAGGTTAACCTCGGACATTTTTTTTGTGGTTTTTGTATTAGACCCGATGTCCATATGTTGGTAGGTCAATGCAATACAAAGTAAAAATTTTATTTGCATCATATTGCACGCCCAGGTAAAGTCAACTTGTCCAGATCATATTTACTCTGGCTGGATTTTTAATGTAATAAAGCTAGGGATGTGCTGCTAGATAGACCCCCCCCCCCCCTACAAATTATCAAGTGCTTTAATTATTTAGTATGAGACAGCCTTCTATACTAATGATTAAAACCTGAGTATATTTTGTTGTTGATAGAACTGTTTCACAAAAGGAAAAAATATAAATAAAAACTAATTTCGTCAGGTTATTGCAAGAAGTCATTAATTGCTATATAAATTATACGGCAATTAATGACTTCTTGCAATAAATAATCCAACAATTTGTATTTATGATTTTCAGGTATTTACAAAAGATCTTCAAAAAGAGAAGAACTGGGAGATAATGGAGAAGATTATGCAAGTCTACAGCAGAGAACCTGAACCTATATAATAATTTAATTTAATATAAGTATAATAGTGTTGCACTTAATGTAAGATTTAGGATTATGATTTGGTTTTAAATGTGTTCCAAAAAGTATTGTATTGCTATACAAATAAATGACATTCGGTTTTATTACAATTTGTTTAATTTTTAAGACATTAAGGGTCATATTCCAGAACTCTACTCAATGCTCAAGACAGGATTTGAGCAGACTTGAGTATTATTTCAAGCACTGGAAATATGACCCTAATGGCAAGGACTTGAGCATGATTTCTAGTGCTTTGAATCATACTCAAGTCCTGACTTGAGCATTGAGTAGAGTTCTAGAATACGATCCTTAGGGTCGTATTCTACAACTTGAGTATGATTCAAAGCACTAGAAATCATACTCAAGTCCTTGCCATTAGGGTCGTATTTCCAGTGCTTGAAATCATACTCAAGTCTGCTCAAGAATTTGAGTATGGTTTAAAGCACTCGAAATCATACTGAAGTCCATGGAACTCAATGGAACCAAACCAAACCATGGATCATTGGTATTAAGAGTAAAAACGAAAGCAATACCAATAAATGGACGTCGGGTTCGCGCTAAAAAGTGTCCGCACCTGTAGGGCGTTAAAATCGCATGCAGAGCGTCAATCGCGCAAGTCTTAGTTTGTTCAAGTGACAGTGCGGTTGTCAATCATGCAGGACCAATATATGCAGTACAAATAATAACTTGTAAAAATTAGTGCAGTAAAGTGTGAAAACAGGATTTTGTATCATATTTTCACTAAACAAATATATTGTGTTATTATTTCAAAGTGTTATTTTGTAGTTTTAAAGCACACGAAATAATGAAATAGCCAACTCTCCTTTTTCTACTCATTGCATGCGCAAAAGATGGAAAGAGACCCATTACGTCAGTTTCAAGAAGCTTATATAAACTTCTTGGTCATTTTCAATTGTTCGAACCACAAGCGATTGAAATATTTAGAACAAACTGTAGAGTTGCTTTGATTTTAATCCTATTTTTAAAATGATTTTTTTATTAAACGTTAGCGATAACTAACAAAATATTGTTGTACTCGTTTTACGGCATGGGATTACCTATCGGAAGTCAGAAAATACATTTGCCGGAGCTGTGGTTCTCGAGATTAAAAAATGGTGTGCCAAGTGTTTGATTGCAAAGTTTTTTCTGCTCAGTTCATGTAGCTACTCTAGTGTAGTTGAATCTAATTAAAAAAAATAGAAACAAGCTAAATTGCTAAATTTCAAAATGATTGTAGGAAAATAGGTGAGGGTGGGTGTGTGAGGAGGTTAAATAATCAACACAAATTAGTTCTACAAACAAATATAATTCAGTTTTCTAACATTTTACGATACATAATTTTTATAAATGTACAGGGTAAGCTCATGACGTGGGTAAAGCGGTACTAGTTCTCAACTGGCTACCGGATGTATACACGGTGCAATTAATATTAGACATGGTGGCGGCTTCCCGCTTGATATGCTTCACTTCATGGAACTGTATGACAACTTACATCTAATGTGAATGTGAAGATATGGAGTTTGTTCCAAAGTGCCGTCAGGTTACAAATCTACTTTAAGACACCAATGACTAGTAATTTATAAAAATTTACGCTACGTTTAAGCGTATCGAATTTTAAATTTTACATCAGAATGCCAGACAACGCGAGCGCCCCAGAAGCACGGCCACTGTGAACAGTAGCAAACTTCTGTGCGTCCCATTGGAAGACAACAGAATCAAAATGCCACAATTCACACGTTAATTTGTGCTTCCGTACGTAAACGTGACTCAAACGATTCTCCCAATTGTAGATTAATGAGCCTTATTTATTACCGATGCGATTACTTAGAATGCTCGAGTTAACATCAGTATAAAGAGAAATATATACCTTAATACTATTATTTATTTAAAATCTATAAATAAATTCCACACTGACAAAATTTAACACATAATATTGATGTAAACGACGTAGATGACAGTAAATTATTGCACGATACTATAAACAACTACTTGGTTGAAACACCGGGAGACACACAGACACATAATATGCGGTAGAATGGACACGCTACGGACCTCACCTGTACAATGTAACAAACACAGTGTTATACACGGGAATATCAAACTTGTGGGCTTCGACGTAACCACCGATGATACATTCGATTTTTCTCTTGTGATGCCGTGTTTGTAGACAAATGTCTATATAGATAGATAGATAGATAGATACTTTTTTCACTGGTAACTTTACATATCTTTGCTTTAAGAGAAAGCACTGGTATATAACTCTGGCAGTTACGTTTTACCGTAGCTAATAATATGTATCATAGAAGGGAAAACTTCGGAATGACATCCCACACACTTAAAAGCAATCCAAATTGGAAGTTCTTAGATTGACATCATTTCAAAGACCGCATACCATTAGATACTATGCAAAATATTATCAATTATATCAATAGTGTAATAACGTACAGTCAAGAATATTATGTGTTGCTTGGTTTTGCATACCGATTTTAGTACAAAGTAATTTACGACATCCGGAAATGTAAACACATTCGACTGTACGTTTGATTATAAAATGGACACGAAAATTATTTTATGTTTACTTTATATATAATTTGATCAAATGTTACCCGAATGCACTATAAATACACATACCTCACAACACATTTCACAATTTCACTTAGAAAAGGCAGTTCAAGAAGATAAAACACGAGAAGGTGGTTAGTGAGAAAACACTAATTGGTATCCTGATTGATGCTCAGTATGAAATAGGCACTTGAAGTGAGACATTATCAGACAAAAATAAAATCTATTGTGGTAACAAAAATAAAATTATAAAAAAATATATTCCAACGAACAACGGGAATGTAATAGCTAAAACAAATGCGATACAGATCGCAACTAGAAGCGGAAACCTCACAGAGAAAACTATTATGGCTGAAAATATATACCTTTGAAACTCTAAAACCGCAACACGGCACATTTAACAAAATAAATATACTAACATTCATATCAATTAGTTAATAAATTCAATACAATAAAAAAATCTATGGCAGCTGAAATAATTTGTACATATTGCGTCAAAAACAATACACCACTCCCCTCAGGATTTGACTATGCTCCATTCAATTTCCTAATCTACTAATATTTAAATTACAATAAGAAGTGACAAAAACTAACTACTACATAGTAAATATAGACTTAAATATTTAGTGCTACACATGATCTTTATGCATTCACCTACTTTGGCTGGACTCACAAATAAGGTTGTAGATTTTTCTAATTTAAATAATACTGGAAATATCTACCTGAGGGTCTCACGTTTGGCGCCCGCGTCAGCGCCGCGGGCAAACCACCAGCGGTGCTACGATACTATCACACCAGTGATTTGCTCAAATAATAAATATACACCAATATACTATTACCATACAAAAGGGCCTCACCCAAAAAACAATCTACGAATGAAAATGTGTTCGCTACAAATTATTAGAGTAAGCACACAGCACACCTCAGATCTAAGTAGGATTGTTAGAGAAACAATAGGAACTCTCTACAACAGAAAAAGCTTTTAAAACATAAATTAATTAACACAAACAACAATTCCTGTGCTTAACGAAAATGCCTATGCAATATAATAATCCATAATCTATACAGTAAATATTTCTGAATTTAATCTGAATGTTATTCCTTTTCTTATGTTGAATATGCCATTATTGCCTGTATTCCCCTGCAGTAATGGAACTATAATTTAATTTGGCATTCAACATAATCTGTTCCGCGCATTGTTACATCTCCATATACATATATCGCAAATCCATTAAACGCGTTATTTAAATAAATAATAAAAATAGTGACATAGATTTCATCTAGTCACAAATAAAAATAAAAACTACATACTTTACCTACAGGTATATAAATTCTGTATCGCTTGGAAAGCGTGTCAGTGTAATTCTTGCCGTCTGTAGAAACGGCGATAGTGAAGGATCCAAAATAAGACAAGTTAGCTGCCGCCATAAGCGAAAGGGCCGGTAAAGCACATTAATTACCTCGGAGAAAATGGGAAAGAATAGAAAAAATAAATGTTTTCTACAATTCCATAACAATGCTGTTAATGTAAGTTAAAATAATTGTCCACAGGACCAGATTGTGAATGTTTAAGTGTTTAGTAAAAGAGTCAGGTCAAAAGTATTCACAAAGGACTGATGCGATTTGTGGGTGTTTGTTTTCATTACCCCCGAAATAACGAATGTGACATCAGGGCGTTTTAGCTTACGACGTCAGTTCGAGCGCCGAATAGCATTGCATTGTCACTTTTTAAACTCCTCGACTAAAAATCTTTTAATGGTATAATTTTATACCTTTGCTCAGTAATACTTAATATATTCTTCTATTCTTAGGTGTTCCCTTCACATTATACCGACAGTCGTAGAAAGCAAATTTTACAATTTGAAGCAGGTACGCAAATTGATGGCGATTTCAGATCAAATTTAAAATAAATATATCCAACAATGTTCTGTTTAACGCTTCTGGTGAAAAGGGCAACCAATAAGCACTATCACGTTAACGAATATTATTGCACATATATACACAAACACTCTTTCTTATATTTGGTAACGTATAATGTTTCCAATAAACAACACGCGAACTTTTAATCAAATAAATAATTATGGCACATTTTGTGAGCATAGATTGTTTTTCAATTTATAGAAACATTTTTCTTTTCGTCCAAAACGGACAGGCTATAGGTAAAGACCACACTGCCTATAGAAACTCAATTGTCTTTTACCATAGACACAGTATATGTCATACAAAAATCAGAAAATTTTGTTTTCTACGACAATCGATTATACTACCCTTCATTCAGAGTGTACCTTATATTTACATAGCTACTAAGGCAATCCACTATCTAAAATAAGCGTATATTTGTACCAATGCAATATTATTGAGCTCTCGTCTCTTCACGTCCCTTTCCCCTTCCAACTCGTAATCCCTAACCTACAAAGGAATTAACATGGCACAGTATACGTAGAATATTCATTAAATTCTTTATAAATTAAATTTATTCTCCGTCCCGACTGTCATTAGTAAGCGGTAAGTTAAGCGATGAATACATATAATTTGTAGAAGCGATTGTAATGATCGCTTTATCATGAGCATAAAAACTGACTGCGGCGTTAGATTTCGAGATTAGGCTGGTCTCTTTGGTAATTTAACTTGTACAATAAAATTTATTACATCACATTCTATACTAAAATAAAAACCAATACTTTCAGTTTGTGAGATCTCCAATAGAACGTTAAATTAAACATTCGTTACTCAGATTCGCCAGCGAAAGTCTACGAAAATTCAACATAAATTAAACAAAATGTTAATCCAGCATAACCTCAACTCTTGAGCCAGTCAAAAAGGAACTCGAAATAAAAAAAAAACTATAGAGTATAGATTACGGTGAGTGGAAGGGAAACAACGGCCCGCGTTGCTTGCTGTCTATGGAGCGTTCATCGCACATCGGTCAGGTTGCTCTTGTCTCCGAACAATTTGACTAATTGTTCCTCGTAGTCGTCGATATTACGCTTCATGATCTCCATGCAAGGACCCAGCAGTCGTTCGAATGTCTCCACGTCGAGGACTGAATAACAAAGTATATTTTATTTTTTTTAATTAGTTTCTATATTGACTAAAGAAAGACAATGGGAAGTAGATATACAATATTAAATCTTATATGTATTTGTTTTATACATATAAAATTTGATAATAAAAAACATTTGATTAGTAATCACGTAACACTGAACGTGGAAAATAAATATTCTTTACTGTTATTTACATGTTTACTTTTATATCATACATATATCTCATAATGTGTTTTATTGTATAGCTACAATGTTATACGATTTCATAAGGCTCAACAGCAAATGGTCAAAATTTGTAAACAATATTGAACATGTTGAAGTAGCTCATAATAAACAGTAATGATACTTACATGCTACCTTGGTGGGGCCAACGGCGTAGGCCGATGCGGCGCGTGGCTTGTGGGTCACGAGGGCCAGCTCTCCGAAGTAGCCGCCCTTGTCTGTAAACAAACATTACACACTATAAATATCGTAGTATATAAAAACACGTGATACCTTTATAGATAGCTTGTGAACTTGAACACGTTATTTTCCATGATATAAGAGAGTGAAACTATAGGTAGTATAGAAGTATTGTGTCCAGCAAAACATACTGATGCCTTACTTTCTCAAACTAGTATCTTATAAAGAGTGATTGTTCAGGAAATGGCCAAACTTTCTATTTATTTTAAATTTCTTATCAAGGGCTTTAATTTGGATGCATTACTTTAAGAATAGGTAAAAAAGGCCAGTGTGTGAATATGAAAGAAATGTGATGTGAAATCAGCCTGCAAAATTTGTATAATAAGACAGTCGGTAATTTAAATGTGGTGATAGTTATTTGGATCAATTTTAATATTATATATTATAATATAGTATTTGTAAAATTATAAACTGCTACCCAGTAATGGGTGAAGTCGGGCTGTGGATGATGAAGTTGATTTGTGAAATGTAACTAGATGTGTGATGTGTGTAAATAATAATAATTTGAATAATGTCAAAATAAATATGCAAATGTAAAAATTAGACAATGAACTTAGCGATTTGTCAATTATAAATTGAATTTGTCATTGAAAACTGTAATTTATGCATCGGTTTTGAGGGCCCGTTAGTGTTGTGGTTTGTCTATAAGTTAATAAAGTAAGAGTAGCAAGTGATCGACTGGAAATCATAGAAGCAAAACCGTAATCAGTGCATCTTGACAGACAGCTCTAGTGTTGATGAGAGCATAACTTAAAAGATACCGTTGCCAAACGTTACGTCAGTTTGACAGTGATGTTTTTTGAAACGCAGTTCGGATGTGAACTTTACGAAACACCTTTTTCTACCTTGGCTCCAGCTCCAAAGTGCTAGCACCATGTCCTGTATAATTTTTGTTGTACAATGTAATCTCAGTACAGATACTAAAAAAACCGATCTCAAAAGTTTTATTGAAATCGGTTACCGGAAAGTGCGCGACATCGGATTCATCCCCTAATTTACTCTTGAGGTGGGCTATTTTCTTCAAATTTAAACGGGACCATTATTGAGGTACCCTCTTTCCAGCAAAAAAAAGAATCATCAAAATCGGTTCATCCGGAGTTATCGCCTAACATACATACAAAAAAAAACAGACGACTTAAGAACCTCCTCCTTTTTTTGAAGTCGGTTAAAAAGGTATGAACTAATATTTTTTGTATCAATCACACCATATTGGTGCCATAATACACCCATTTGTTCTAGCTCATCTACACAATCGTGTGGGATTAAAAGTAATACATACCAAGGCGCTTGATCTCGTGCTCGTTGCCGTCGTCACGTGTTATACGGATGGAGACGTTGCCGTCTTCAACGAAATACATGCCGTCAGCCGTGTCGCCCTGTCGGATAATCAGCTCGCCATCAATCAGGGAGCGGGGCACCAGAGCGTCAGCAAGATTTGCACGCTCGTACGGCTGAAGACAAACAGTATGGCTTGATAATAAATGACACAAATTAATTATTAAATACAACGCGAATACATGCACATTCGGTTAGATGTCGCTAGACGTTGAATAAGACTGATCAAATACACTTTGGTTATCGCGGTAAATATACCCGTTATTTTAATGATGTAAGGAGTACCTTATGTCAATGAAATAAGGATCATATTATTAGTCACACATGTTACATGGTACTCGAATAAAACTAGTGTTGTTTATCGCGAATTTTATCGCAAACTGGCCCTGTACTCTCGTTGACTGTACGACATCGTCCGAAAGATTTACTGTCAAATAAGTCATTTCCGACCTAATTAAAAGACGTATGATGCGAATGAAGCTTCATACTTGACTTGTTGTCTTTTATTTTTATTAATTTGCATTAGGACCCTGGCTAAAATTTAATTAGTCACAAATGGTAACCTATCACAAACTCGAAATTTTTTTTGTCTGAAATAACGTTTGTTCGAATTTTCATTACATCGAAAACCGAATTATAACGAAACAGTTGTTCTTTCAGGATATGTTGAATGTTTATCGCAAAGACACGATTAGGTTCGGTTAAATTAAGTTAGGTTAGGTTTAAAAGAAAAAACATTTTCCTCTCAAAATTACTTTCGAGGTTATGAAATTTCGACCGAACGTTATTTCTGGAAAATGTCATTTCGGACTACTGATAGGTAACCGTCACAAATACCATGGAAATGAGCCGTGGTAGCCTAATGGTTTGACCTACTGCCTCCCAAGCAGAGTGTCGTGGGTTCGAATCCGGACTCGCATCTCTGAATTTCTCGGAATTTACGTGCGAAATTTAATTTGAAATGTATTATGAGCTTTTCGGTGAAGGAGAACATCGTAATGAAACCTGCACGTTGAAGGTGTACAACTCTCGGAAAACGTGTGAAGTCCCCAACCCGCATTGGGCCAGGGTGGCGGATTATGGCCTAAACCCTCGTTTGAAAGGAGACCCGTGCCCAGCAGTAGGATGTACAAAAGGGTTGATGATGATGATGACCATAGAAATAACGTACATAATATTTCCATACAAAAGGTTCTTAATTCTGAAGTAGTCTACTTGGCTACAGTTGGACATAGTTATGCAAACTACAACCAACCCGCAAAATGTCACTTTCGAGATAATTACATTTTTGTAAAAAGTGTGAAGAAATAAATAGGTAAGTTATTTAAGACAAACAACGTGGGTTATGTGTAGAATTGAGAATGATATAGGGAAACTATTATATTATATAGCAATACATAGAAAACATTACGTATATTTTTATTTCGTTAACGAGAACCATGTTCTACGTATGTATGTATGTATGTTGTTCTAGTTTTCGTATATGTGACATAGATACATTTAGCATATTTAAAAAATACATTATATGAAGTTAAGTAGCATGGTTCTTTTTAGCTATTAAAAAGTTACTTATTTAGGATTGGTACCCTGACGGACTTTTATTTTCTCCGTTTTGGCTTGGTATATTGCCAGAATCTTTTGTGAGCGAGTAAAGGATATGTCTGGTGTTCTACTTAAACACAACTCAATTTCACGAGATGTGGGTTGGTTCTTGTTTGCATAACTATGTCCAGTTATCACATGAATGTAAACAATCAAACATCGCTTAAGTGATGTGAGATCGTTATCAAAGCGTGCTTATTGTGTTAAAATGACACTTATAGCTCTATCTATTATTCTCAGTATTGATAAGCACTTTGAACTGTAGACACTTCAATGAACTTATCAGCAACAATGTTTTCTGTCGAAATTACTTTCTGCGCTGCCTTCTTCCGTCTTTCATCGAGATATTCCAAAATGTATATCGTCGGGTATAGTACAATTACGCATAACTAGCATTGGATTATGAGCTTCCATTTTGGTAATTTAGTGGTCAAATCAAATCCGCGTAAATGTTGTGGCAACCAAATTAGCGTGAATTACAGGAATCTATTGTTATCAGTCCGTAGACAACATTAATTAATGCTTACTGTGCAAAAATGAATGTCGTAACCATTTAAATAACAAAGTAATTAACGTTAAATCCCTGCCCTGTAAAATTTGATTTAGTGCAGATACGCGTCTTTTACCAATACTACACACGCGGAATTGCACTATCCCTAACGATGTGTTAGTGTTTAGTTTAGTTTAGAGGGGTGCATGAAATGAGCCTCCCTACTAATGCTTTCCTGTACGACTGACGCACCCTGGGCAATAATTGGCGAGGACCTTACGCCGATTGGCAAACAAACCCTTTCACCACCATGGCAAGCATTATTGTGTATGCCATCAATATCATATGAAAGTTTTTAGTGTTCTTTACAGTATTTAGACAATATTGTGTAAAGTTAGACGACCCGCTGTTGGATACAGGACTCCGTTACGTAAAGTCAAAGTCGCAATCTATCGTGTTGGCTCAAAGTATCTTCGAAGAGTTTATTTTATTTTAGAATTTAAAAAGGTTACAATTTTCTTAGCTAAACCTTGTCCTACAAAACAGTTTGACTGCAGACAAACGAGTCTCGAATGAACAAAAGGTTACAAACTGACACTTACGCTCAATTTATATTACGGCGGAACGAAATGGAAGCGAATTTTTATAACGATATTGTACATAGCTTAATGAACTTCATGGTCAATTGTGTAACGTACAAACTAAATAGGAGCCAAAATCTTCCGCGGAATGCGCGAGCTATCTCGAGCATGCGCGATAATTCCGCAGAGGATTCTAGAATCCTACAACAAAGTACAAACTAGATAGGTACGATCTAAACTCTGTTCTGTACGTTACACAATTGACCATAAAGTTCTTTATGCTATGTACAATATCGTTACAAAATTCGCTTCCATTCAGTTCCGCCGCTATATAAATTGAGCCTTAGTGTGGTTAAAAATTCTTAAATAAAATAATTATATTACAATTTAACAAAAATTTGTGAAATATTCTATCAACATTTTATAAAAATTTAATTCTTTTACTTTCATTATACTAATAACCTCTGGTAAGCTGTTTAATAGAAATGGATAACGTTTCTTTAAGGTCCTATCTCCATAGTAGTTAATGACTCTTGGGATAACAAATTTACCCGATGTCATCGACCTTGTATTGTAGTTATCCATAAACCGTACGCAACAAAGATATAACACTGCCCTCCTTATCATAACCAACATTTTTAGCAACATTGAGTTATTAACATATTTGTGATCAGTGAGATGAGATCTATTTAGTTTTATTGTTAAGCAAAATCAGCGTAATTACAGCGTATTTTTAGATGACAATAAAAATTATATTGCCAATATCTCGAAAGTTACAGTGAGGGCCAGTTCCCATTATGTCGTGACGACAGATAGTCGGGCAGTTTAAAGTATCGTGGCTTGTACAGTAATACCCCGTTTTGCGCGATTTTGTGATAACGCGATTTTCAAAATTCGCGCTTAATTACCCCGTTTTAGGCGGAGGATGCATTCATTGATTTAGCCAACTTGAACCCGTAGCTTCTCAGTTACTAAAAGTGAATTGTTACAGGTAGTTGTCTTTCTTGGTAGGTCCTTTAATTTGTAATCACATTGGTACTGTCCGTTATCCAGGGAAGAGCAAGAACGTCAATCGTCTGACGATAAATAAAACGTCACGATAAAAATGTAACGACAGATAATCGCAGCTTCAAACGATTCTGTCGACTCAAACGACAAGGCGGCTGCGGTGAACCGATAAATTGTCGTTACGATCTAGTGGAAACAGCTAGACACGACAGTCGTTTAACGATAAATTAAACATCCATGACATAGTCACGACAGATAGTCGTGATATGGGAACAGGCTATACGCGACAGTTGTCCAACGATAAATAAAATGTTACTACAATGATAAGGAGGGCAGGATAGAAAGAAGTAGTTGGAAATTATTGTTTCATCATATTGTTTTAACGTTAAAGTAAAAATAAAGTATTGTTGTTACCTGAAGGGCCTTCAGCATGGGCACTTTGTCCAGCAGCTCTTCGTACAGCTTACGCTTCTTGAAGGCGCTCTTGAGCAGGATGCGGCGGAAGGTGTGGCGGTCCATGGCCCAGAGAGCGCCCGGCGTCTGCGCGCGCACACTCGCTGCACGCGGCATGTTGTACATCAGGGCCAGTTCGCCGAATGAACCAGTGCCTTCGTATGTGTGCACCACCTGGTCATAATAATAACGTCAAAATAGTAACTGTCTTAAATCATCACCATCTAAAGAGTCGTAGGTAGCCTAACGGTTTCACCTACCGCCTTTCAAACACAGGCCGTGGGTCCGAATCCGAGCTCATACCTCGAGTTTTTCGGAATTTATGTGCGAAATTTAACTTGAAATTTACCATAAACTTTTCGGTGAAGGAAAACATCGTGAGGAAACCTGCACGTCAGGGTTCCGAGGGTTCACAACCCTCGGAATACATATGGAGTCGCCAACCCCCATTGGGCCAGTGTGGTAAAACACTCGCATGAGAGGAGACTCATGCCCAGCAGTGGGATGTATAAATGGGTTGATGATGAGTAAGCATCTTGTCTTTTTTACTTCAGATGCTTTACAATCCAATTTGAATGATTTAAGTTCAAAATGAAATGTCAAATCCCGTAAATTTGAAAACCAATTTTCAGCAGTTTCAGACGAAACTGCAGACAGAAACGGTTGAAAGTGCGAAATTGTTTTTTTTTTCTATATTTAATATATATAAAACTAGTCTACTATGGGCGCACCGTACTCCGTAAATACTAACTTGGCTTATACAAATGGTGTATAAAAGTGAAAACCTAGAAAAAATGCTCAATATTGTTTTAAAGATGATGACCGCGGTGGCCCAACAGGGTGTACTGTGGGCGATGGAAGAGATCCCGGATAGTGCTCCGGAGTGAATTCCGTTGTTCAAATATTACATGGTACAAGGACTTCCCTAGTCTTCTGGGCGTGTCGACTTTGAAGTTTATATTAATTGTGTGGCATACACAGCATTATCAGTGGCGTTGTACAGGTCCTCGCGTGTGCAGGGACAAGCAGAGCAGGACACAAGATGTGCCATAGCCTGGGGAGAGACACCACACATGCGCTCTTCGAGCTATAACCCCGCGCGAGCGTGCTCTCCTTGCTTCAGCTGTCTTGGGTATTTAGAGACTTCCAAGTTTGCCAAGGTAGATCATGCCCAGGACGGTGCTGCGACAGCGGAATGAGTGATGCCGTGAGGCGTCTCTCCTTTCAGAGACTTATTCGGTCTTGGTTAGTTTCCCCGTCCAGAAGGTATATTTCTTTAATGAAGTTATGGCTACTCTTTAGTTTCTTTTCCCTTTGAATACAGATCATTGGTGTGGTTATTTGGCACATTATTATTATTACTAAAGAACAATATACGAGCTTATAACCATTAACTGCCTCCGAGGCCGAGTGATTACCATGCCATGCTAACATGCGTGGCAGAGGTCCCGGGTTCAATTCAGGGAGAAATATTTGTATGGCCTACATTTATTTCTCTCGTGAGTTTGGGTATAATTTGTGGTTGTCTATGTGTGTGTCGGTGGCACCCGCGATACAGGGTTATTATTATATGCAAAACTGTATGGGTTTTCTTCACAAGAACATGCATAGATAGAATTGTTCTCTTTAGACCATTCAAAGACTACCGTCTTGCTATGGCATCATGTCACTTTGTGTTAAGTTTGATATAATACAGCCAAAGCCAATACAGTAATGTGATTATCCGCTTAAATTAGGTATGAAAAAACCACAATATATACGTAAATAATTCAATAAGTATAATCATTTTCCTATAAACTACAAAAACATACAGTGTACTTGTATAGCATTCGACTTACAAATAATAAAAGGGACATATCGTCGGGGATTGTGCAAATCCGCGTACGTAGTAAATGTAAAAGGCGCGTATCTGCACCAAACCAGATTTCACAGGACAGGGATTTAACGTTATTACCTTGTTATTTCAATGGCTATGACTTTATTTTTGCACAGTAAGCATTAATTTGTTGTCTACGGACTGATAACAATAGATTCCTGTAATTCAAGCTAATTTGGTTGACATGACATTTACGCGGATTTGATTTGACCACTAAATGACCGTAATGGAAAGTCATAATCAAATGCTAGTTACGCGTAATTGCACTATAACGCGAAACAATTTCAAAGATCGAATGTGAAAACTCAACAATTTCGATATTAATAATACTCTATCCTTATTTTTCAAAATAGGTCTCAAACTCTTCCTTCCTACTACAGACAATTTGGAAGACGTGACATGTGCTCCCGGGGGTAACTTTTTAGGTCAATAACATTCTGCCAGTATGGTTCTATAAAACAGAAGCGCGTCTATACGGCTTCTTTACAACTAAAAGCTTGCAACAATGTAGCTTATATAAGGCAAGAACTGAAGAAAATTTATCTCCATAATATTATATTATATTATATTCCTGTTCCATAAAATCCAGTTTACAATGCAGTTTTCTGTTGGATTAAAATCGGTTTACTTTTTACTTGTTTCCTATTTGCAAATGTAATCATGAATAGAGTTAATACTATTGAAAAATTTAGATTCAAGTACGATTGTTATAATAGTAGTAATAAGAAACGTTTTAACTTTACTTTTATAACTTTTATAACTAATTTCGTGATTATAGTCGACCATGTCTACCTATAAGAAGATATGGTGAATCGATTGCAATGCGAAAATAGGTCGCAAAATTAGAAAATGGCACTATTTTGAAGTATTTTTGAATATCACTACGTTTTAATACCATGATACTCAATTATTTTTTGTGTAATGACTCCATTAGTTTGTCATAATCATAATTAATATAAAGATAGAACATTTTAAAAAATCCTTCGAACCGGCTGATTCGAACCAGCGCCTTCAAGCATGCCGTGTCAGATCTGGCACAATTATAACACGATGATAATACGATGCAGAGACTTAGTTCTCAAATCACAAATCAATAAAAGTATTAAGGATAGAATATTTGTCACCATCCCCACTAATGAGCACGTCGAAGTTGACATTTTTGTTTGCTTAGAAGTCGTCGCCATCTTTAGACCATTATGTAGGAAACATTCTAGAAGTTTCAATTACCTTCTCGATGCCATCATCTCCTGTGACGAGCACGTCGAAGATGCCGTTCTCGATGACGTAGAAGTTGTCGCCGTCGTCGCCCTGCCGAATCACGTACTCGCTGGGCTCCACGCGTTTCTCGAACATCGCGTCCAGCACCTGAACAAGATAACATCATGGGATTGCCATTACGTGAAACTGATGCAGAAAATTGTACTGCAAACTGAGGAAAAAAGGAACGGAAGCCTAGGACATTAATGTTAAAATTAGATAATGTTGTATCGTTCCAATTTCGTATTTATGTTTGTAACTATAGGATTAAATTTTGAGGGCTTAGATTTTCTTTCGAGTAGCAGTAAAAGCTCTGAGTGGCACTGCAACTGTTATGGACAGGCGTGTACCTTACCATCAGGCGCACGATTTATTCGTCCCGTCACTTGATAAAAAAAAGTATATTGTAACATTACAATAATATTACTCAAATTCGTACCATGACAAACCTGTCATCCAAGTAATGTATTATTGTGTTAAAGTGATGGAAAAAACTAACGATTTCAAAAAGATTGTCTATTCCATGCTAAAACGTTATATGAATTGCATAATGCCATCATCTTTTTTTTAAGGTTCGAATCGTCCAATTGGTAGTATAATGTTAAAGTACTTTTATTCATTATTTTATTTATATGCAGAGAATTTTAATTGCCAAAAAAAGGAAAGGTATGTAATAATAAAAACTATTAAGATTGCGTTGTTTTAAAATATTTTGTCTTCATTTTCACAAGAAAAATTAATAAAACAGCCTTGATTGTCACATTGTGAATCCGGAATTAGTCTAGTGTCAGCAGTTAAACTCAACGCAAACTAGGCTGATCCCTGTGACACTTCATTTGACGTTAGTCGTAGGGATAAGGTAAAGTGGATAGATTTTTAGTGTATTTGATTTTTGAAGCAAAATTTCTCTCTTACAGTTTTATTTTTCTGTCATTAATCGTATAGTTAATAAATAAAAAAATAATCATATCATTAATTTGTAGGTTTCAAAAAAGTTATAACACTGACATGACATTCATTGCCATTGCCTATGACTAAAATATATACTTTATATTAAATTATCGAAAACTTTTTATCGATATGCATCATCTCTAGTAAATGTAGTGTAATGAAGTAACCTTTGCAAGTTGTCGTAAAAATATAATGAATTTTGAAAAAAAAAAAAAGAAAAAAAAAAGAAAGTTTTTCCGCTCATTTCTTAGAAATAAACATTGGTTTGGTGTCATTTTTACTTTAATTTAATGTAAATTTAAATTTACTTAAACAAAATTCATTTAAAAGCGAGGCTTATAAAAATAAGTTTATAAAATATGTAAATTAGTGCACGTCGTTACAAAGTTATATTGTGTACATTTTATGTCACAGGGATCATCCTACATTATTTTTAGTTTAGTGTCTTTGTCATCTTTCCAAACGTTGTCAGTGAAAGCGCGTGAAGTTACGAAATTAACATCGGGTCTTTTTAATTTACGACAAATTCTTTCTCATGTATAAATAATATAATAATATATAAATAAATAATAATAAAAATACTTATACGTTAAACTTAACTTTTTACCAATCTTATTTTAAGATTGCTAAATTTGAGACAGAAGATATTACCTTTACCTTTATTACCTATTGCCTTAATGTCGAAGTCGCGTCATAGTATGAATTCAGTGAATTAATATTCACAAAGTTGCCTATAAAACATCATAGTTTCAATATTATAATAAAAGGTTGTGGTAGGCCCCCTGGACCCCTTTACAAGCTGTTAAAGCTCATAATTCGTCTTGTTTTGACTTGATTTTTTAACTGAGTACAATAACGACACATTTCGGGACCAACACTTATTGTATACGACACTTTTCTTGAATACCGTCTTCTGACTTTTCTTTGTGTCTTCACACAAAGATGGGAAAGACGAACGACCGTGGGAAATCCTTTATGTATGAGAATTCTTTTATAATTCCGGCGTTAATAATAATTGTGTTGGTTCATAATCGTTTGTTCTTATAAATATCCAAATCGAATGAATTATAAAAGTTGTATTAAGGAAGTATTTTTATAAATACACTCACAAATAATTCAGTGGTGATTTCCTTACTTAGAAATTATTTCTAAGTCACCAGACCTTGCACGTTTCGTATCCAGATGTCGGACTGAGAATGGGAGTAGACCCCAAGACATGGTGTTCAATTTTAAAAAACGAGCTAACTACAAGTAATTTGAACAATCGTTAGCTTTGTAGGTAACTGGCCCAATTTAAATTGCCGCGGAATGGAACGGAAGCGAATTTTTGTAACCATAGTACAATGAACTTCATGTCAACTGTATAAAGTACAAACTATACATACAACTACCACAAGCCAAAGGAAAGTCGCGCATCTTCCGGAGAATTCTCACGCATTCTCGGGAATTCACGAAGCTAAAGTGTTGTTACAGTCGCTACAATTTGTACGTTGCGCAATTGACATTTCATTATGCCATGTACAATTTCGTTACAAAAATTAGCTTTTATGCCGATCCGCTGCAATCTATATTAAGCCTAAGAGTCAGTCATTTTGATGACTGTGATGATGGTGTGCTGTGTGGTTGTGATGAGCACACCATCATCATTTGTGCTTTTCTATGGAATTACAAAGTTACGTATATGTACTTTGGCTAGTTTCTAGCTTCCATTTATGAAAAAAATATACAGTAAAAAAAGTTTTAGTGTGGTGAATTGACGGTAGGATGACTGCTTATTGCACAAAGTTCCCTGCAAATTATTTCATGTTTACAATAGTTACTCTTACTACAAAAATGAAGAGCTCTAAACTAAGTTTCGAAGATTCCACATCATTTCAAAACAGTGCTTTTTAGTTAGACACTGTTTTGTAGAAGTTAAGACGATATGCATACGTGTGGGCTTCGAGATTGTCACTAGTTGAATACGTCATATAGATATACGCCCGCCTATTCTCCCTACCCTAGTACCTACTCATAGTACAGGAGAAATTGACCTACTTTCAGATAGGCAAATGGTTGTGACAGATTATACAAAAAAAATAATTAAATATTATGTTTTTGCTATCATGACATAATTTCTTTTCCCATAATCATATATCCCACTACTTTGTTACCAATTATTTTTGATACAAAGATCGAACAAACAAAGATAAATTCCTTATTTAAAACTCGAACCAGCGTCTGAGGAATTTTTCTTTGTGTTTGTTCTATCTTTGTATAACGTAAATAAAATAAATAACGCACACACTCAACATAGCCCCGCACTAGGGAAACCCTGTGTCGCGGGTGGCATGGACAACCACAAATTACACCCAAACTCACGAGAGAAATAAATGTAAGCCATACAAACATTTCTCCCGGCCCGGGAATCGAACCTGGGACCTCTGCGTGGCAGTCCGGCATGGTAACCGTTCGGCCACGGAGGCAGTTAAGTAAAATACGCTTTTAGGCTTCTTGTTCCGCTATCACCAAAATACTTAATAATGTCTCGTTTTGATAAAACAAGATACACGTTACATTAATTTTTTTTTAAATAGCGCGTAAGCGAAATATATATAAAACCAGTCCACCAGACTACACAATATTAGTTCTTTTTTGGGTCATTAAACATTTTTAGTTATTTTTGTTAAATTTAATGATTAAACATTTCACAACTATCATAAACATGTGTTTTATTATTAAAACTACATAAAAACTACATTTTTGATAATAGTCTCGAACTCATCAAAGCAGCAGTTTATATTTTGAATGAAAAAAAAAAATGTTATGTAGTTACCCTTCTGAAGGATAATAATCGAGGATTAGATTTCGAATCTTGGTCTTATGTGCTTTAAAATGCGCCTTGTGTAGTTAATTGACATGCCAGTTTAAGGCATGCCTCCATATTTCACAGGACCTTTAAGCGCCCGAGGCGAAAGTTTTCGTGCGGCCGCCGCGCGGCGACCGCCCAGTTACCACGCCTTCATGTACATTAATGGCGAATCTGAATTCTATTTACTAGGCAACAACATTTAAATTCCTCTGAATAATACAACCGCGCGGTCGCCGCGTAGACCAAATTCAAGCCAGGCTCGCCCGCGTGGCCGGCACGCTCATTTAAGTTAAAACGTAAAACCTAAACAAATAGGGCGTATTTTGCTATGACAGTTAGACGCACGCGATCGTTGCGCGGCGGCAACGTGGACTCCGCTCGGCGGCCGCGGTGAGCGCAATGAAATTCGTATCGAATAAATGCGCCCTACAGGTGTCCCGCTTCGAGAAAAAAATTTAAGGGTCAAGTTACGTTTGTCTCAATAGGGTATGGTTTTCGTAATACGGTTCTTGTATAATATGTGAATGATTATCCGTATCCAAATAATTTAGTTCCACAAGATTGTGCATTGCGCAATGCGAATGAATTCAGGTTAATTTGTTGTAGGCTAGTATTTTCTTATCATAATGCTATTTAAAAGGGGTGATGGAAATCAAATAGTACCACACGTTAGTTCCAAATAGAGATGCGCTGCCGCCGCTAGATTGGACATAGTTAAACATAAAGGATCCAATGCACATTCAGTCACTTTAGAGATATGGCAGTTTGAAGTTTAAAAATGTTTCTCAGTCTTGTTTTATTTTCAAAACTTATAATGTCACGTTTATATCATGGATTTTTTTGCATAACACACGTGCTTTCGTTGTATGTGATGTTGTCTAATATTTATATTTACTTAGTGTACATAGCACAATAGATTAGTCTTAGTAATAATAATTTAGTGCAAAACTACATTCTTCAAATTAAAAACGACAAGAAAACAAAAATGTGCAAAGAATTTTACAAAGTGATTCGTTTAAACAGTTACAGGATAACTTTTTTTATAAAAAAAAAATCGACCTCAAAAGTTCTTGAAATTACATCTATTTGCCAAGCGAAACCGGATTCATCCCCTAGTTTGCCACTCTTGGAAGTGGAATATTTTCTTAAAATTTAAATGGGACCAATACTGAAGTACCCTCATTGTAACAAAAAATATAATTATCGAAATCGGTTTACAAATCGAGTAATTGCTTAACATTCAAAAAAATATATTATATAAAATATATTGAGAACCTCCTCCTTGTTTTTGGAAGTCGGTTAAAAAGAAATACAATAATAATAACAATGTAACGGAACTCAATATGATTAAAAACTCAAGCGATACACGCAATTGCCAGGCGTGGGCACAATAGTTTTATCACAATCGAATGAATAATAATGGAACGCATACTGGACAACTTTTATACATATACAAGACCAGCTGGTGCCCGTGACTTCGTCTGCATAGAACAAGTACTTCGGGTTGACTACTAACTTGGGCAAGGATAGGTCATCCATACAAACTTTCATCTCCTATTTCACCTACTTTAAGATTTATTTTTGTGACAAAAGTTAGCCCTTTTCCTTCTTGTAGGTACCATCTATCTTTATACCAAATTCATGAAATTTAATTCAGCAGATTAGGCGTGAAAACGTAACAAACAGAGTTAATTTCGAGTTCATTTATAATATCAGTTTGAAAGACTAGAAAATATTGTAACTCGATAACTTTTTTATAATAAAAAGCCCGACCTCAAAAGTACGTGGAATTACATTTATTTGCTAAGTTTTTTTGAAATCGGTTACCGGAAATTGCGCGAAACCGGATTTATCTCCTAGTTTGTAACCCTTAGAGGTGGAATATTCTTTAAACTGAGGTAATCTCTTTCCAAAAAAAAAAAGAATCATCCAAATCGGTCCACAAATGCCGGAGTAATCACGTAACATACACACAAAAAAAAAAGGAAATCGATGGCTTAATTTCTCAAACACGTATCTTACAAAGAGTGATTATTCAGGAGATGGCAAAATTTACTATTTATTTCAAATTTCCTATCAAGGGGGTTAATTTGAATAATGCATCCTTTAAGAATAGGTAAAAGCCAGTGTGTGAATATGAAGAAAATATGATGTGAAATCAGCCAGCAAAATTTGTACATACAATTAATTTTTTGCATTTCATTAACTTTGTGCTTTGAGATACGAGTTTGAGAAAGTAAGGAGACGAATACTATTACAGTCGAATTGAGAACCTCCTGATTTATGTTAAAAAGAAGAATTATAACAAACGGGCTCACTTACTCGAGTTTTCTATAAGTTCTTATCGCTCCTATAATATAGCAAGTGACGTGACGTAAACATGTCACAGTAAGTGTAGCGTATAATAAAAGAGGCCTATCTGATTAAATAAAAAGATTACGGTATTTATGATCAAAATGGTCCTTTGATCATGGCCGTGTTGTTTACTGTTACAAAGAGGCATCAATTTTCCATGTGTAACTGTGGATTAAATCAAGATACGGGCAGCGTGGCTCGTCTGTGGCGATAACCGTAATCCTTTTCTGGCGATTGTACGTAATACTTTAATCACATAAGTTTTTGCAGAATGTATACAGGGTTTTTTGTAAAATACTAACAACTTTTATTCCATTATTTTTCATAATTCATCAGATTTTATTTTCGTAGACATACATATATTAAAATAGACCGCTCTAAATGATGATAGGTACAATGTGTGATAGCGTGTAAGCGGGAGTGGGAGTCGCTGGGGAGGACGACGATGCTTGTATGTACAACAAAAACCTAAAAAGTTTGTTTTTAGTAAACTTATTACGTTTTGTAAAAAGTCATGGAACAAAAGTTGTTGAATATTTTGTCTTGCGAGGTCGTTAGTATTTTACAAATAACCCTGTATATTTTAATCACGTTCGTAAATTCAATATATAGAAAGTTTAATCAGTAATAATATGACGTAATATGTATTGGTATGCACAGTATAAAATCTAAGAATACAATAGAGACAAACTATTATACATATAGTTCGACCTGACTGTGACCTCTGTAGCCCTGTTGAGGCGACAGGAGCTGGTTTGGGTCCAGTTGATTGTATGTGTAGATTATTACAGTAACCTACCTGCTGCATCTGCTGGGCATCAAGCGAGCGGAAGAGCAAGATGCCGCGTACAGCTTCGGCGAGCCGCGTGCGCTGCGCATCCGATTTGGGGAACACCACGGGCGCACCCTCGTCCGAGTCATCCTCCTCGGGGTCGTACGTCTCCGCGAACACCGACTTGCGCCGGTTGTTGAAGCGCGCCGCTACCGGCGGCTCTGTGTGGACAGGCCTTTATGTTACTTAAGTTTTTAAGCAAACAATTTTAATTCCATAAAAGTGCAAAAGAAGGAGTGTAATGTGTATTTTATCATAATGATATAGCCGAATTATACTAATTAATTTGACCCTTTTGACATGAGTAATAACTAAATTTTTTTAAATTTGTTAACACTTTTCGTAATTTAATAGAACTGGCCAATAATAAATAAGGTGACCTATTTCACACTATGTTTCTCCAGTGTCTGCAACATGTGGCAAGTAAAACCACATGTAGTTTGATCTAAACACGCCTATGACATGTGTTAATCGTTATACCTATATGTGTTGACCCGCACAAGAATTTTAACTGTAAAACGCTAAGACGAAACTCAGTGAACAATCATGAACAGACAATATATGTATATGCTATCATCAAAATGTTTAACTGAAGCTCCAAAACTTATGTAATTTACTCACTAAAGTGCTTGTTATACATACATATACGTTATGTGAAAGTTAAACTCTCGTCGTAGATAGATCTTGTGGTCTAGCGTAACGCAGGCGCTACGCATCGGATAAGATATTGCGGTTTTCAACACACAATACACTAACATTATAAATAATAGAGATATTCCCGAGATGTTCTACGTCAAAGCGGTAAAAAAAACTGTAATTACAACGTATTATTTCCTCGTTAGTGAATACTGTCGAGGCTAAGTAGTTATAAGTTTTATCACGCATACAAAGTATCAAACTGTGCTGTAGTTGTAATGCACGGCAGTTAGACGTCATGGTACTCGCGCGCCGGTCTCTAACTAGGACAACATTAATCTGTAATAAGTATGGCAAATGCTGTTGACCTTGCAACGAACTGGTTCCCTGTAAGGCTACGATTTGTATTGGGAAATTACGTTCCCGTCGATACATAGAAATGATCGCACCTGGATTTTTTACGTCTATTTCTGAAGACGATACGTGATAATGCATGTTTGGTACAAAGTCAAACTTTCAAATAGCAAGAGTTCTTAGTTAATTCTCTTTGCATTAGGAAATATACAATAAATTATGCATAACTTGGATTTCTTTTTAAATTGCGCCACTATGTGAGCTGCAAAGTCACTAGACTAAATTCTAAAACCCCGATAAAAGCAAGTTCGTGATCGAACCGATTTTGTATATACATTTTCGCCGAAATTGAGACATGATGTCACCTGGGATCGAATAGCCGTCAACACTATCTTCACGTAATAATCTAGAGGGTTAAGCGACGTATTTACGAGCGCATTTTGTAAGTTAATTATAGAGAACATGACATCACTATTAATTAACTGATACAAACAACTTAACTCTCGTCTACACACTAATTACCTGTAACCGTGCCTCGACACTTTTACGAAAAAACCATTATTTTTCAAAGTGAGTCATTACTACAGTTAATGTGTTTTATAATGGTCATGTTTCTTACTCCACATACTTATGCCAACAATGAAGCAGAATATCTCTCTTACGCAAATAAACTCAAGGCCCAGTTAGCACCTGTATGTTTCATTGTGAAAATACATGTTACTTGTCATTACATGGGCTCAGCTAATTTTATGTAACACGCATGTAAAAAGGCCACCATCTGGATCAGTTCACGACGTTAAAGTCAGCCGCAGACGTGAAAAAACAAGCCAATCTCATCATCACAAACTTCAAAGCGTTAAAAAACAAACACACAAATGGGATCAGCATGTAGTAAACACTGAGAATTTATGCTTCACCAGTTTCACTACTATTAGTTTTACAAACTCTTGGAAGCAATGTTAGAGATTTTCAACTTGTTCTTCATTGAATGCATTCAATTACTATTGATTATGCTGCTATACCTTCAATTGTTTCTAGAAAATAGTGGGTAATTACATGGGTAATTGGTACATCTCCATTAATGCGTGCTGTAACTGAATTTTATTGCATCAATTAAATTGTTTTAGGAGTCTGCCTAACTCATCAATGGGAAATGAGGGTGATAACAGGAGTTTAGATTTAGATTTTCCATTGCGGTGTTTATCATTGTAAGTCCACAATTGTAGCCTTAGAAATTTTATTAATTTCCAATACGAATTATAATTGTGGGAGGAAATCCAGTTGCCACAAATAATGCCCTGTCTGTTATTTATTACTTGGCAAGTGATATTCCCTAAAATTTCATATTATACATAAATAAAGTTATATCATTGGAACTGTAATGGCACTGTGCCAAAATCTGAGCATAATAATTATAACTGTTAGAAGTATAAGAGTGTATTTATAAATATTTTTATTTCACTCTTTATAAAAGGAGCAACAGGTTTTAAATAGAAGTGTTGAAAGTGTATATAACAAACAATTGTGCTATGTTTTAGAACTATTAAAACTTAAAAAAAAAACTAATAAATCTATATTCTACTCAGCAACTGCTAGCATCTAACGCAGCTATTTAATGAGGATATGAGCTAACTCTGAGTGATCAAACAAGTATTTTTCTAATATGGTCCAATCTAAGTAAGTGTTACACTACACTAATGTCAGAGAATAGTAACAATATAATCATTGAAGTTATTCTATGTTTAAAATAGGTCATTACTTTCTTAACCATGTTCTAATTTCAAATATGTCATCACAGTCAATCAAAGTCAAGGTACTGGCACTATTTATTTTCACATGTCCATTTACAATTAATGTAAAGCAGTCCGTGTTATAAATTAGATTTATTCAATAATCACTTATTAATTGTACCATATAGATAAGCAGATTTTGGTATGAAATAGAATTAGATCACAGATTGTTGGCAATAGAGGCAAATCCTTGTGTAGGTAACATGTCAGTCACTCTGTATGCACAAATGACATATGGACTGCAAACTAGGTACAATTATGTATTCAGTTCATTGAGATGGAAATGACATGATCCTATGGCTACAGCGCGGCCCTAACAAGCTCACCTCGCCCTATCCAAGTGCCCGGAGACTATACGTGATTGTGTAAGTTATTATGAGAGGATTGGTACCTTCTTCATCTGATATTATGGACTCATCCGGCGTGCCGGCGGTCGGGCCCCGAACTATGGTCGTGGTCCTGTTGTTTTGTAACCGTGTGAAGAACTCGACCGCGTAGTTGATCACGTCCCCGGGCTGCTCCAGCAGATAACTTATGGTGAACTCCAATAAGATCTCTCTAAGGTCATCCGGGACTTGTATGCGTCCGCCCTGAGGCCTGCTCATTTCTACAGGCGTCGCCTCGCTTTCTCAATAGTATCCCGTGGAGAACGTCGAAGCGGCACGTTAGATTACAACTCCAATATCATAGCCATCGAATTAGCTAAAGCGACACACCAACGAGCAATCTTACGATGGGAAGTAGCACTACATACAAAACGTTAGTAATAAATAAAACCACACTATTATACTAAGACTTTCTCAAATAATAGTCTCTGCTACGTGAAATTAAATACAATGACACACTTAGAAAATTATTCTCGTCCTCCAGCCTGATAAAATATAAAATCTCCCTTCACTAAAAGTAAAAATGGCGAATTTTGGATTGCCCTACTTCTTCCACTCACTTCACTTCAATCATTTTTGTAAAAGGTCTTGCCATAAAAAAATATTAACCATAGACTAAAATAGCTGACAATCGATCGTGTTGGGAAGTGCGCTTTTTTCTTAGTGAATTGGAAGACTTGTCCGTCTTACATGAAGTATGATAGAATATATGCGGTATCTCTCTCGCAAGCGCGCTTACTTTTTAATTACTGAGGTGTACTTCTACTCAGTAATAGATGGCGCTTTACATAATAAAATTATAGCAAATTCGAAACTTTGATCACTTTTGTAAATCGAATCGAAGACCTCCGTGGTCGAGTAGCTCACACACCGGTTTTGAAAGTGTCGCCATTTCTGAGGTACCGGATTCGAACCCCAGCCGGATCAATGTAGAAATCGAACTTTTCTATATTCTCTCGGGTCTGGGTGTTTGTTGTACCGTCGTTGTTTCCGATTTCTTTAACCAAGTGCTTTAGTTACCTCCTCACCACAGAGTACATTGAATAACTGTGAAGTACTAGCTTTGGGATCGAAGCAACGTATGTAATGTTGTCTAATATTTATACTACATTAATATAATCCTGCAGGCTATCCTCGAAATAAACTGAACTAGTAATCAATAAATGCTTGACAGTCTCGTTTGTGGCGGCCCATGCTGTTTAGTTCCCTGAAATTAGTTTTTTAAATGTTCAAACCATTTTAGATTGTCTTATCAGGTCGCGGGAAGAGTGGAATGCCGCCTGTGCTAGCGTGTCTCGAGACCGCGTGCACCAAGCCCCGCGCTATCGTCCCGTTTGTCGAACACTTCTTGTTTGACAACGTTAATTTAAATGATTGGTATAAATCGGTAAAGAAAACAATTTTACGTATGTTCAATTCAATACAATTTTAAGACCTTATCTTGACCTGCTCTAATTGATAATACCCACTAGCGTCTTTTCTTCTGTTTCTTTTTGTTACACAAGTTGTATTTACTGTAAATGGCGGCCACACACGTTGCGGTCTACCTGCGCAGAACGTGTGTTGGAAAATACTTGTGCAGTTTAGTGTACCTGCACAGGTAGACCTCTCCGGTAGACCGTAAACTGAATGGCGGCCATAATACAAAAGTGGCTGTAGAAATAGCTATGCGCTCTTCACACGATATTTTCGAATGGCAGCTCAAACCAGACTATAGCCACAGTATTACAATATCTTACCTTTCTTTTACAATATAGCTCTTGACACACACCCGAGTACGCGCCACCACCGGCGTATGATCGGACTTGTTTGTGACGCGAGCTCGCCTGTAAATCGGCGCGGTTAGCCACCGTTTTTTATTTTAACAATGTTCGAAGAAAATTACATGTAATATTAAACAGGGCCAGCATAAACTCATGCTCGTGAAGTTATGTCAAACGAGATCATTTAATTTTGTGTATTACCTTGTCTTGGAACCAAAGTAAAATATAAATGATTTTGAGTTAAACCTCCACACATACTTACACGTTTCCGCGCCGTATCGCATTAGCACTCGCCTCAAATAAACATGCCTATGTAGTATGTATGTATTATCATAATTACAAATGTAGTGCAGAGTCAATGTAGTCTACCTACGTGATTATTGTTTTGACGCCAATCGGTCAGAATTTCAAACATTTAATTGCGAGGCCGGTGGAATAAGGCATATGGCGTTGAGCCGTGTAGCCCTGTTAGCATAACGTCGATGCTGCAGTGTGCGGAGAATACTGAAATTAAAACACAAGACTTAAGTAAGGTTCGAATATAACTGCCTCCGTGGCCGAACGGCTACCATGCCGGACTGCCACGCAGAGGTCCCAGGTCGATTCCCGGGCCGGGAGAAATATTTGTATGGCCTACATTTATTTATCTCTTGAGTTTGGGTGTAATTTGTGGTTGTCTATGTGTGTGTCCATGGCACCTGCGACACAGGGTTTCCCTAGTGCGGGGTAATGTTGAGTGTGTGCGTTATTATTATTATAATACATATCTTGTAGTAAAATACCATGTTGTCTTCTATACATATATGTATTTTGCGTCCTTTATTTAGGTTTCATTTCCAATAGTGGTCTAGCTTATCCTACCTTATCAGACTTATCTACATTTTTTTTCCGCTTCACGTTTTTCCGTTTTGCAACAGTACAAACATTACCTTAAAATGCCCAGACAAAAAAACTATTATAACGATTGTAACTACGTCTTTGTAGAGCGCGAAGATACGCGAGCGCAGGAACCGAAATAAATAAAATAAAAACGAAACATTATTTTAAATAACATTTATTCCATTATCCATATTATAGATTTTTAACAATATAAGAAGCTTACATTATTTTAACAACAGCATTTCTGTAATTAACAAGGCATCTCTAAATCTATTATTTTTTGTTTTAAAGTAGCAAATCTTGTAAACGAGTCTCTTACAGGAAAAACTACAATATTTTCCATTGATTCATAAAGATTGAATTCTAGTAATTCAGGTAATTCATCGTCTTCTGAAAACAAATTCGGTTTTGTAGCTTTCATTACGTGCAGAGTTAAACATTTACATTTTTCTAGAAACATGCAAATCTCTTGCGTAGTCCTCGTGCTAACTAAATCGCAATCTGCTATATACCATATTGAACAACCGGGATTTTCAAAGACTTTATTTAATATCACACCAGCCCATTTTAAAAGTATATCTTTTCTAACTTCTTTATTCAGTGTCAGATACGGCACTGGTATAACATGCCCGTCGTCAATGGTTAGAGTCCAATATTTGGCATATTTCATAAGCACCGTTAAGTTTTCGAAGTAGCCGACTCTTTTTATAATTTGCGCTGTTTCCAGTTGTTGTAGTTTTTTTGTTAAGGTTTCTGGGTCGTAACTAGTGTGGTCCTGTGATTGAAAAAAACATGTAATATTAATTAATTAATACAGGAAGGTATGTTGTAAAATTAAAAGTTTGGACCATATCAAAAATCTTTGTTGAAATTGTGCCCTATGCCATTCCCATACTGGTCAAATTTGTAATAAAGAGATGACGAGACATCCCGTTTTGAGCGGGACAGTCCCGCTTTTGGCTTCCGTGTCCCGCTGTCCCCAAAGTACTACAAATGTCCCGCTTTGACAAAACAGGACACACGCGATAAATATAAAGTCAGCACATCAAACTACACAAAATTAGTTCCTCCTAAAATTTTTGATCATTAAACATTTTAAATTAAAAAAAAATTTTTTTAGTCGTTTAACATTTCGTAATTATCACAAACATGTCATTATGCTTTATTTATAAAACAATAATAAATTTACAGGTGTCCCGCTCTGAGGGAAAAAAATAATAATCACGTTATGTATATAGGCAACTTCCCTCCAAATAACCTCATCCACTTATGATCTAATTTATCATTTCTTGAGGCAGTTATATCTTGCAACTTATACGTACAGTTTAGATCATATTATACGTAGAGTTTGCAACAACTTAGTATTGAAGAAAGTGCGTTTAATAATAATAGCGTGTTAATTGAAGCACTAAGACAATAAAAAGTGGTTACAAGCTAAAAATGCTTACTGTACCACAAACATACAAGTATAAAGATACCTGTAATTCAGGAAACGTCGCCCCAACTTCCTTTTTTGTTTCCAAGTAAGACACAATCGCATCTTCTTCATTATAGTTTGCTTCATTTTCGCACAGTGCTACTGTTGAATTTCTGTAAATTATAAAAAAAATACCAAATTATTACATTTAACCTACCTGTTTTCAAATCAGTAAAATATAAGAAACAGAACAACGAACTTAGTTGAATGGGAATTAGCTGGATTCGAACAAAAAAAAAGTGCGCATTTTTTTTTGGTTCTAGAGGAAATTAATTCGCGATTTCTCTGTAACGTCTTTCTCGTGACATTACTGTTGAGCCACGTGCCGTCAACATGAGACTTAAATATGCTATAATATTATATCTTTCGTGTTTTCGAGTATTATCTTTATTATACTGAACTACAGGCACTGAGTCAAGGAGAATACAAGACTCGTTGTACTAGCTTAGTCTATCTATTATTATGATTAAACTTATTATTATTATTACCTGCTCAGTGCAGCCAAATGTTCTTGTACTTCCATATCCTCATAGAGCTCAGATAACATCTTTACATTCGTCTTGTTGATCCATCTACATGATCCCGAATTCAGGTTCAATTTTATACTATGTTCTCCAGACAGGTCTTCTGGTAACAATGACCCCGAGGCACTTGTTACCGCGGGAATATTTTCAGAAACTATATCCAGGACATTGCAGGCTTTTAATTCGAAAAGCAAGCAATTCATCTCAGGGCACCCCTTTATACCTTTCTGAGGCAGCGGAAGGTAGACGGAATCCATGAGTTTATCGACAAACTCCGCATTCAAACGGCATATCCATTTTCTCTGGTACATTGCTGAAATTTTAAAAGACTCTTGCAGTATATCTTGCATGTGATGTCTATTTATTTGGTTGTTTAGTAACTTTTCCTTCGCAGAAACTGTCCCACTTTTTCGCAACTGTTCGATGGCAAAGCGTAGAGTTTGTTCAGAGAATTTGTTGAACATAGTCAGTATCTTTTGGGCCATATCGATGGAGTGCTCGCGTTTGTAGCTCATCATGACAGTCATAATTATCCCTTCCTTTAGAGAAGACATTACGGGTTCATCCCTAGGGGTTCTATACAAGTTGTATGGTTTGTCAGCTGAGGTGGCAGATATCGCGAACTTTGCATGAAACTCTTCGAGGTTCATGGCAACGCATGGTAGTTTTTGATTAAAGGATTTACTTTTAATGAGCTGCAAAATCAAATACACGAGCTCTAACATTGGTATACGCGCTTCGGAAAGGAATTTGGTCATGTTTCGAGCAAAACGGAGTTTTAAAGTTTTGAAAAGCCCATCGTATTTCTGTATGAGATGCCTTCGATGTCTCAATTCGTTTATTATGCAGTCTTTTTGATGTGATTGAGAAGTGTCTGATTCCAGCATAACAAATCTCTTATGACAAATAGTCGCAATCTTTTTTGGGTCCTTTGTTATAAGTATTTCCTTTGCTATTAAATTCCTTAGTCGTAGACAACCCGGCTGTGACATTGGACTCAAAATTGTTACTGCCACTTTGCATATCATTAGTACTTTATCTTCTTCTTTTGTCCACTTTGGGAAAGCATTGTTCTTTAACCTTTTTTTAATTTTCGGCGCAATGACCACCGGCTTCGGAACAATCTTCTTTGTTACTTTTGGCACTGCGCTTTTCGTCACCTTTCGCTTTTCTTTCTTGGGGATAACAAGAGCTTTTAAGCGGCTTGGAACAGGCTTTTTCCTGATGTTAGAATAGAAAGTAGTCCAAGATCGTGCCTGCTCCATGTAAAACGAAGCGTCGAATCCACAAGGCCCTTGACCATCTCCAAATATTTGTCTGGTATCATTTTCGAAAACCTCTTCTTTAGTTCTTAATGGCGGCAGTAGCCTCTTTCTTTTGCGGGCAGATTGTTCTGCTACTATCTTAGTTTTGATGCTGATATTATACACATCATGCCAATAGTTTTCAACGTCTTCAAATGTATTAAAGCGATACGACTTTGTTAAGTCTTCTATATTAGCTGCTGTTCTAGGCCAGGTTCCTGTCGTGTCAATGATCTTGGCGTTGCGATTTACGTAGAACATGTTGTTGTAAAGTTTGTTATCCTCGGATTGAGTAGGGTTTCGAATCAATTGGACAAGACCTAGCATGGCCAGAATCTTCATATTACATCGAAAACATTGCCGGAAAGATTTCGATGCTAGAAATATAGCAAACAAGTCTTTCGGTACTTGTTTCAGTTTCATATCCATCATGTCTTTAGTGATTTTTATGTTCGATAATTCGCTCAATGTGCCTTGGGTTAAGTTGCCCACTGCAAAAGCTAATGTAAGTTCTGGCATTATATGGATTAATGAGGAGAAACCCTTTGAGAATCCGAATTGATTAGTGTCTTCATCACCACTATACACTAAATCGTAAAGACATTCATGAACCTTTTGGATTTTCATGTACCGAGGATAGACATAAAGCGATAAAAACTTATTTGCTGTTTCGCTGACTGGTTTAGTAGGCACTTGCGTCTCTTTTACGATTGCTCTCATCTTCACTTCCCTGAATTTCGATCTAATTATTGAATCAGCAGGTTTCACATGTGGAGCGCAAATAAGGAGACGTATTTGAGGACTCATGTTGCCGAAGTTTATTTTATATACTTTAATTTGGCCATCGTTAATAAGTTTTTGTATGATCAGTTTAAGACCCTTTGTATCCATGGGTGGTTCACCTACTTCCCTGGATGCAAGAAAACTTGCTTTTTGATATCCCTGTACTACGTGTTTTTCTCTAATGACTTTCAGTAACGCATTTGCAAATCTTAACTGTCGCAATGTCGGAGTTCTCTTAGAACCAAAAAGAGAAGTTGCATTGCTATTTTCCAGCCCATTCAAAACTTTGACTTCGACAACATGTTTCGCCAATGTTTCCGGATCTGGGTCGTGTGCGTCTATAACAATTTCATGTGCACTTTTATGTGCTTCTTCGAGCTTGATTTTTTTCTTTGGGACCTCGCTATCAGTTTCAATTTCCGATTCGGTGAGTGCAAAAGATTCATCCATTGTGTTTTCTAAATTTTTGGATTCATGTAAATATTTGAGGAACTTCTTTTTTTCTGCTTCGTATTTGACATCCATATCTTGAGTAGCATGCACAGCTATGTATCTGAAAAAAGTTGCAGATTTTTTTTAAGTTAAATTAAAAGTTATTGTTGTTGTTTTTCGACCATATTTTTGTTCGTGCTTCTTAGCCGTCTGCTTTTACAGATGGTCATTTATGTAAAATAAGTTTAAAGATTCAGCAAATTTTAACTATATACATGGTATAAGCTTGTTGCATATTTAATAATCTATCTTGTGTCTACTAAATCAAAATTGTTCTTACTTAGCAGTCCTTTGTCTCCCTCTATCCTCCAAAAATTCTCTAACAATTTTTTTTGTTTTAAAAATCCTACAGATGGTCCTTGTTGTGTAGAACTCCACACCCAATAATTGTGCCAGTTCAATTTGTGTAAGACCATTAAGCCCAGCGTCGATAAACCTTTCATAAGCTTGTCTGTAAAGATTTACGCCAACTTTGTATTGGCATTTTCGTGGTTCTTCAATTTCCCCTTCCGACGGTGAGGATTCGTCGCTTGATGTTTCTAGCATTACATACTTTCTTGTTGGAGGTTGTTTCCTCGGTTTCTTACTTTTATGTTCTTCTAAGTATGGTTTCTCAATCTGTTTAAAAAATGAACGATGGTTAGTGTTCATAATTGATAATTAATACCAGTCGGCCTTTGTTATGGCAAAAAATAAAACTTACAAATTTAAACATATTGTTGGTCTTTCGTAATTTCTTCAATCGGTTGCCAGTCACAATGCCTTTCTTGATAATCATATCAGTCCGATCACAGTGATTAGGTTGTTCTGACAAATGTACCATAAGATCATGTAGCACACCCCTTTTTGGTGCAGTTAGTAGTTTTGGTTGGTAGAATCGTTTCAATTGTAACAATAGTACTTTGATCGCTTTGTTAGAAACTAGCTGCGTTGTGTGTTGTACACATATTAAATCCATTTTGTACAGATGATTTCTGTTATAAAATAGTAATTTTGAGTCTTTTAATATTTTTGATAGGTTTGTATTGCCAAGTGTCATTTGACCCTGTAGAAGAATAATAGTAAATGTTATTTGCCTTGAATAGGTGGTTGTAGTATACACAGTACATTTGTTCAATACTTACTCTTAGGCTGCAGCCGCACTACTAAGGCGACTGCGACACGGGACAGCGATTTCGTGAGAACAAACTCATATAAACATATTTCGGTGGCTGCACTGCAGAAACGACAAGCGAAATTTATTTGTTCATGTCGTAAAGAAATTTCAAATGTTCTACAAGTAATGAGGGTGACCGCTTTAAATAAAATTCGTACTTGAATTTGACACTTGAATTTCGTACGACAAGCAGCGGTGCGACACGGCGATTTGCGATGAAATATGCGGTGATGTACCTGAGCGGCCGCACTGCCTCGCGGCGTTCGTGCGAAAGAGCGCGACATATTCGAGCGAAAAGTTGCGAAGGAGCCACAGCACGACGTAAACACAATAGGGGCGTTTCGCTGGCTTCTCGCTTTTGCAATGCGGCCACCTTGATTTCGCGTCGCCGCCGCGTCGCTGTCGCCGAACTAGTGCGGCCCCGGCCTTACATAGCAGGGAAATATTAGTAATTATATGTCGGATATAATATAAATTACAAATATTATAAATTAAAAAATACATTGAGACTATAAACAAAGCTCTATTCGCCATTTTACCAGATCAAACAACATTGCTTTCTTTAGTAACATATTGTAAATATTTGACAGTTGAATATTTTCAAAACAAACAACAAATAAATTTACAAAACATTGTTTATGCTACAATGACATACAAATCCAAAATGAATCACCAAAGTGAAGTGCAATAAACACTTGCATGCATATTGGTATGCATGCAAGTGTTTATTGCACTTCACTTTGGTGACAAAGAGATTTCACATAATGTTAATGCATCACCCATGCAAACCGAAAAAACCATTCTTCAATTAAATACAACCTATAGATTAATGACTAATAAAATAACAATTTATAAATCCCTGATCAGTAAGCCAATTACTCATTGAGACATCTGGAGGTGAAATATATATTAATTTTATTACTGAGATCCGTAGTTTCGCTCGCAAAGAGCTGATCTTTAAACAGCACTAAGAATCATCGCAATTAAATTAGCCAAACAAATAACCCCAGATTTTTTGGGTTGAGGTTTAAAAAAACAATATTGAAAAAAGAAACTTAGTGTAGGTACACTAACTACAATGTTGGATTTTTAATTTAGTTTGTTCCTATAATTATGTACTTTCCCTACAATTTACTTCAATTAAAAGACGGAGATTAATTGTCAGATTTTACAACATTTTTTTTATCTACTCATAACACACCTGAACAGCCTACTTGACAGTAGTAAGAGTTTCAAAAATGTAGTAATAAACCACCCAAACAATATTTTGTACTTTTATCAATACATTATAATGTTATACAAAAGAAGGTCAATTCCTTTGATCGGGCTGAATTCCAACAAACGTCTTCTAGCTAACCGTGTCAGACGCTATGCCAACTAACCCCCGGAACGAACTTGCGGACCTTACGAATTTTCTATGTGTTTGTTGCAGTTTTTCTTTTTGATTTTTAACAACTTTTTTGCCGTAGCGCCATGTGAGAAATCTATTTCTTCACTCAGGCACATAACCTTTACAGCTACCAGCAGCTGACTAGACACGTCTGTTTAATAATTGGAGTAATTTCACAAACATAATTGATAATCATGGTGGTCAAACATCTTGACATTCAATAAACTTAAACATAAATTATAAACTTTAAAAAAGTACATCATGATTAAAATAATTATTTCCTTTTCTTCCAAAACAAAAATATTATTTGATCAGTCTTATTTAGGACTGCACAGCCAGGCATCTCATCTGCTTCGTGACAAAATCTGTAGTCTACAATGAATTTGTAATCAGATATCTCAGGAGGATTGGAACCTAATTCACACAATCAATCACATTAATCTCTAAATCAAGGCCTAAATCGCCTGACCTGAGCTAGAGCTTTTATGGTAATACAGCACCCACAAAAGCAAGCCTCTGCTGCCTGTGCTGGTGGAGCGATTGCGAATTGCCTCCCAATCAAAACCACTAACATGGTGCATTTTTACAGACCAAAATATAACATAAATATTGAGATTGCTTCTAGAGATATGCTCACCTTTGCACATGTCGTTTTTAACATGTATTTTCCTTTTGCAATAAAGACTTCAATAATAATTTGTACTGTTTTAAACAAATAAAAAAATGAAATATACTTTGCTTTCTAATAAAAGTGCTACAGAGTTTAAAAATTGTTGCTGCCCCTTAAAAAGCAATACTTCTCATTGGAGTGTCTTATACAGATAGAACAATCTGCAATCATTGACATTACAAGGCTTTATACTATCACCTCAGTTTTAACAACCATGGTGACCAAACAGTTTGCAATGTGCATGCATGCTAGATGAGCAGACCCTGGGTTTGATTGCCGGATCGTCGAACTTCCTAGTTTGTAGTATAGGAAATTCCCTAGTTGCAGATTATAATATGATTGGTGAATTTGTCTGACACATTAATTATTATTATTACAGGCTTAAATAAAAACTTGGTCAAATAAATAGAAAAATAGAATAAAAACTTACATTCTCTCTGCCTTTTCCAATAAGCTCCAATATACAATACTGTATGGTAGTCAGTTCCTTCATTATAGTAATTGGCTTGTGTGGAGCTAAAGCTTGCCACCGTAGTTCTATGGATGCCACTATAACCAATTTGTTACCATACCTAGACGTAATATCTTTGTACAGTACTTGCAATTCATTTTTAGAAATTTCTTTTCTGGTTTCATAATGTTTACAAGACCCATAAGCATTTGATATTGGATGGTATTCATATGGGCCATCTGGACATTCAATCTGGAATATAAATGTCAATTTATACAGACTATCAATTAAAATGTTCCTCGTTCCATATCTAGGTTACCCATTACCAAAACATTTGTTTTGTTTAGTAGTTGAACTAATCTAGGAAAGTATGGCCCCTTGCACACTCATGCATTCGTACATGACTTGATTGTGACCAGAGACAGTGACATCTCACATTAAGCAGTTTATTTGTATACCCAACTCATTTTTTTTAAATTTACGTTTATAAGTTTATAAGGGTATAATTGTAAGTCAATGGGTATAATGAATTATTGACGTAATTTTACATTTTTAATTATTTTTTTTTTGTATTTCATTAGTTAACTCAAAATTTTTAGTGTTGTATACACATGTAGCGTCTTAGCACCTTGTATGATGAAAGTATTATTTTCTAAGATTGCTTTGTGTGACGTTGATGGTGAATCTTTCAATAAATAAATATAACACGTGTTTACGTAAGCAAACCTAATTATACGTGATTGTAAGTCGATATAAGTTGCTTAAAAGATGTTAAGCGGTCACTAAGCGTTAAATGTTGTAGGCTGAAAAGAAAATATTAACTTACAGGATCATCCAAGTGACCACTTTCTTCATTGATTATCGTGAATCTATCTACTATATCTAGAGGTTCTATTGGCTCAGGTAATTCATAAAACGTTAAACCTTCACAATTAACAAGAAAAGACCAAAATCGTTCTTTCATTTTTTCCGTAAGAGACGAAGACGTACGCTTCTCATGGTACCTCCATAATTGTTCAGTCCCTACGCCTTCAAGCCCATTAAGAGCAATTTCATCTATCAGTACTTGTTTAAAATTAAAACAAAATGCTTTTGCGGCACAATTTTCCATTTTAAATTTGATATCTAATAGAAAATTTGATCAATCGCTTAACGCACACCGCACGTCGCAAAATGATATTTTTTTTCCTTCGTTCCGTTTGGAACAGGCGATGGTCAGAGTCAAAAGTTTTAGTTGACTTGCTTTTTTTTTATTAAGAGTTTTGGCTTGGATACAAGTCCTATGAGCCAAGTCTTCGTTTAATTATCGGGATCCTCCATTGACTTCCTCAATCATATTTTCCATTGCGGTTCTAATACATTATGCTTTCACTTTCTCTTAAATAACTTAGTTCACATATTTGGAGTTTTTTAATAGTCTTAAGCGACGGGAGTCAATATTTATGTTTCCACTTTCATTTAAATCACATTATCTTCTATCACTTTGAACAAAAACTTTGAATGCGTAATTATTGGAATTTTTAAGATAAAGTTTTTTGTGTTTGGTTTAAAATATGCAATATAGTTCTAATTTTCTTTATCACTATTTCTTTATTTGTTTTTTCTTCGTAATATACTTAAAATAAAAATAATCTTTGTAAAAGCTACTTGTAATATGAAAAGCCCGCCATTTTTCAATTGACTTGCTTGCACAGACTGTTAGATGCTAACTTGCTTGACATACAATTTTCACTAGGGATGCACATTACGATTCGATTTTTATGAGGATCGATTCAAGTGTACACGATCTTTTGATGTTTTGTATCGATTCATTTCAATGCGATTTTTAAACAAATTGTCGAGATTGTACCCATAATTTACGCAAAACAGTTTCTGAACTCCTACTGAATCGTAAGGTTAATCCTATTTTAGATTGGTCTGTAAGAAAAATAGTTTGGCTACATCTAACTATCATGGCACATTCTGTGACATCTGAACGTTTTTTCTCGCTGGTTAATATCAGTCGAAGGGTCGTATTCTAGAACTCTACTCAATGCTCAAGTCAGGATTTGAGTATGGTTTAAAGCACTCGAAATCATACTCAAGTCTCTGCCATTAGGGTCGTATTTCCAGTGCAATCCTGACTTGAGCATTGAGTAGAGGTCGTATTTCCAGTGATTTCAAGCACTGGAAATATTCTACATTACATTATACATTCTTTCAACATCAATGAATGTATAGCTTACATGACAGACCTGTATAAATTGTTCAACGACATGAATCTCCAACTTTAAGGCGATGAACTAAATTTAATTAAAACAAAAAATGTCGTTGCTGCTTTCGCAGCCAAACTGCTTCTACACAAAAAGAATATGGGCAGACGTGAGTTTCACAATGTTCCGAATTTATCAGTATCCTGCAGTAACGACGACTTGTTTGCCTACTGCCAACATTTGGAAAACCTCCACATTGACGTCACCGAACGATACCAGGACATTTTGAACTTGGAAATACCAGACTGTCATACCAGAATATCAACACAGCAATATCACCTAAGCTGGAAGAAGAACTTATAGAATTGACAACGAACGAGGAATAAAAATCAAGTTCAAAAATGACTACCAAGAATATAAGGCTACAAAAACCGATCCCGCAATTGTACCCTGGATTGTGGTCAATCGTTCAACGATTCTTGATAGCATTCCCATCGTCATATTTGTGTGAACGTGGTTTTAGTGCTGTGACGACGCTGCTTATTAGAAAGAGAAATCGTTTGCATGTTACCGAACGAACGTGGTGACTTGCGGCTGTTCTTGAGTAAATTGGAACCTGAAATCAACAAACTTATTAAACAGCATCAGATTCATACTTCACATTAGTTTTTATATTAGAGAATATTTTTATATAGAATCGATTATGTTTGTTTTATTTCGAATAATAGATACTCTGTCTGAATACTATTACTAAAAGTTGCGTTTCAATAATCATTCTCATTGGCACGTGTAGCCCGTAAGAGTTAACTTGAGACCTGAGCCCCGTTGTGTACTATCTACAGCGCTCAGGTCTCAAGTTAACTATTGCGGGTTATAGAAAAAGTCTGGTTTAAAATGAATATTTAATCTCCGCTAATATAGCTCACGATAATTAATTTAATTTGAAGTTATAGTGGTTTTTTAAGTAGGCGAAAAAATGGGGGCGCTAAAAATTATTTTTATTCTCAAAGTGGGTAGTAGACAAAATAAGTTTGGGAACCCCTGATCTACGATAACGGTCGAGCGCGTTCTGAAGTGTAGCAGCGGCAAGTAAGTGAATTTCACACACTTGCGGTGTCTATCTAGATATATATCTGTGGTTGACCACTATTACTCTCTGTGACATTCCTTCCAGCAGCTCCTACCTGTCTCTTATAGTTTCCATGACCGAAGGCTTTGACATATATATGTCGGCCGTCGGCCGTCTTGTTTTTTTGAAATTCGAACATTTTTTACTTCCGGCAATTGTCCAGGGTGTACCTCATAAAAGAGCACAAACGTTTCCTTCATGTATTATAATTTTAGTAGGCCGTTGATCAGACTTTTATATTTTCCACATTCAAGTTATCTCGTATTTTTCCCTTTGCTTTGGAACCAAATCGCGTACAACGGCATATTTATCTTTTTTAGATAAATATACCGTTTTTATTCTTTTTCACCATATGGGGAAGTACGAGTTCTATTTCTAGTAGTGAGTCAGAAAGCAATGATTCGCTATAGGCTATAGGAAAGAACCAAGGAATAATCACTGCAGGCTCTTAATTAACATATTCCTTTTATTTTCAATTATTAATAACATGAACCCGTCTGATGGCTTTCGCCGTCACCCCCAGTGTAATTTTTTTTCCAAATTCCCCATTCTAACGAAATCGTAATTATTGTAAGTCGTGATAAGCTTTTTAAAGTAAATAATAGATTAAACAATAGTTTTTGCTAACAGTAGCTTTATATAATAATAAAATAGTATTATTTAAATTGTTTCCTTTACTTGAGAAAATAATTACGTGACATTTGCTAATATTAAGGTGTAGAGAACTAAATTTACAATAGTTATTGAGGTCAAGTTGTAATTTTCACAATCATTATATACTTTTAATAAGTTTGCAGATTTTTTCACAACCCCACATAAAAGAAAATTAGAATTCCTAATACTTTTATCAATATCGTTATGCAAACTGTTGAACAAAAGAGGTCCGAGATGCGAGACTTGTGGAACTCCAGAACTAATAGGAATGAAAGTGGAACAATATCTGTTTATAGTTACTGCTTGGGATCGGTTTCTTAAATATGGCTCTAACTACCTTAGCAGTTCGCCATTTATGCCGACCTCCCCAAGCTTGCGAATGAGAGTGTGTGTGATACTTTATCAAAAGCCTTGGAGTAATCGGTGTAAATGACGTCTTTTTGATAACCCCTTTCCATGGCTTCACCCACCATCTGGGAAAATTCAAGGTTAGTCTCCGTAGATCTTTTTGTAATAACGGGAATGTGTGAATTTGAGTGTATTTTGTGGTTATCTATGTATATGTGTGCCCATGGCCCCCGACATACATGTTGTCCCTAGTGCGGGGATGTAAGTGTGTGCATTATTATTATTAATATTATTATTTTGTTATTATATGCTGTACCTACATCACAAAACATTCCCTACCGAATGTTTAAAAGAAATAGGTCACCTATTAAACTTCAACTACATAAGTAGATTGGCTTTAAAAAAAACACGTAATCAAGTTTCAATAATTTTATTTACTAAAGAAAAGGAATACATTTTATCCTTTGCTAAAATATTTAGCATAATATTAATAATATTTTAATGAGAAAATGATCATAACTTTTGAAACAATGCTGTGTAAAATATAAAACCGTGCCCTTTGGCATACCTATTTCATATTTTGCAAATCAATGTTCAATCTATTTGTATCTAGTTATAAAAAAATTGCATTCTATAGATACTGGCAGCGTATAAGGTGTAACAGTACTATCACTGCGGTTTGTATTTCTTTTATTTATAAAACTCCTACTTAATCCTATGGAGTGTCTATATAAAGCAAAAATAATGCAGTTTTAACCGAGATAGTATTCAAAGTCGAGTACGAAGACGAAGTAAAATAAGAGAAGTATGGTAACTTCGTAAAAAGTAACAGCCGCCCGGCTTGTTTCGAATAATAATGAAAGGCGCCTTTGGAACAACCAGTGTTATGCAACGCAAGTGCATCGCGAGATTATGCCATTGCGAGTGTCCGTACACGGCGCGCGACACGCGCGCACACATACACGCTACGCTGTTACGTTTTTTATGGAGTTACCATACTTTTCTTATTAAACTATGACAAAGATGAGAGGTAACTTATGATATTAATTGGTAGATAGATTCCCCAAAACTATCATCAGAGGGACAGAATGGAAGGGAAATGGAATAGCCACTTTTCCTAAATGTTCGTAATTTAAAGCTTAAGGGACTATAAAATGCGTAACAATATTAAACAGGTTTGTGATTATTATTAAAATAGTTCCTACAGAATTTCTAGTATTGTCCTTGACAACGAATTCTGAGAAGTGAAAACATTAGGTACTCGTCACTACTGGTATTTACAATGACTATTCCTATTTCACTTCCAGAGAGCTTAATGGGTACTCCGTTCTAAAGGCACGCTAAAGAAACTACGGCCAGGTCCAATTTACGGTAGTCAGCATGCCGTTAAATTCTATAGTACTGCAATTTAAATAAGTTAGGCACTTCCCATACTCGGTGATTTCCTTCTGTACATTGTGCAAGATGGGTGGGATGGGATGCGTCAGGCAATAGAAAACCTATAACAGAGACAGTGTCTGTCCATTATTGATTTATAAATCGATTGGTTTTCTGCCATAGGATTGGCGGTGGCGATGACATTGTACAATTTTTAATTAAATCTCTAGGGGTCGTATTCCAGAAATCTACTCAATACTCAAGTCAGGACTTGAGTATGATTTAAAGCACTAGAAATCATACTCAATTCCTTGCCATAAGGGTCCTATTTCCAGTGCTTGAAATCATACTCAAGTCCTTGCCATAAGGGTCCTTTTTCCAGTGCTTGAAATCATACTTAAGTCCTGACTTGAGCATTGAGTAGAGTTCTGGAATACGACGCTAAGTGCTCTTCTTTGGCATTGTTTATGAATATTAATTTCCAACCATTGTAGCAAGAATTGTCTCTGTTATATAGTCAAGAGTTTAGAATATTTAAAATCCGATTCTAAGTAGAAAAATATTGCACACGCATAGAAACTAACTCGTATAGAACTCAACCCAATATATTTACATGCTATAGTTAAAGGTACGTGATGGATAGTTTGAGAGTAACGTGAACGCTATATCTTAACATTATTAATAAAGTTTGTGGATCATTATATCCCTCTGTAATTACAGTTATTTCTTTATTTTAATAAAAGTCTTCAATTTCTAACACTAAGGCTTCGAGTCTCAAACAAAATTAAGCTGTCTATAATAAATCTACATACGATACTTTCTATATAACTCTCGATATTGCAGGAAATTTGTGTCAGTCAATACGTGAACTAGCATTTGTACTTATTATTAAAAACCCGCAAGTTGTAACATATCCCTGCGGTTTACATTGTAACAAGAAGCACTCAATAAATAATTATATCTTTAGATGTATCTATTCACTACGTATGATAATTAAGTGTCGTTCAGAAAAGCAATATGTGCTTCTTTCTCATTCACACTGGAAAGCGTGAAATGCAAATATTTTCTTCACCACAAATCTGACGGTTTACATAATAATACATGCATGTTAAACAGGTAATTCCAAGGCCGTATAAATAACTAGGAGTTTATTTTTCTCATGGACATGACACCGCTTTTTAAAATAATTGATAATTTATTAGTTGAATGTAAAGTATAAAATTTTTTTACAAGTTTGAGGAACGGAAGTTGGCGAACTTAAACGTTAAACCTAGCCCTTTTAAACCACTGCATTAGTACTGACAAAAATTTCCTTGCAACAAAAATATAAATCAGTTTACGCTTATTATAAGAGACTTTTTTCTAGGCATGTTTTATTTATGAATACAGTTAAATTTACGAGTATAAAAAGGTGGTTTAGTAGGTATTATAGAAATGGTTATTGTTCATTTCATCAAATATCTCCACTTTTGTTTATCATTTAAGTAAGTAAATTACAAAAAGAAAAAACAATCTTAACAATTCATCAAAAATCTTCTTGCACTTATTATGTACTAACGCTTATGTTTACTCGAATTCTAGTTCATTATTACTGAACGCTATTTACATGTACTAGCCTCACTTACGTATGTATGTGTTACGATTCTTTTTTTTGTGCTTACTGACTGCAAAAATGATAACCGTTATACGAGTCAATGATGACGATATTGTCGCGCATGGTTATAAAACCTATTTAACTTTCTTGGCTAATAAAATGCTACTTCTTTCCCACTTAACACACTTAACACTCTATTTATAATTCCAAAAAAAGTTTTACAGTTTTCGAATAATCTCGTCCATCAAGGATCAATAAAGATGTTGTATTCAAGCGTAATGTGTTTGGAAAGTTTAATTAGGTATACCCCTGTATTTATTCATCTAAGTTTGAAAAGAGTTTTCAAATACGTCAGATTATTCTCAAGTCTCAACAATGAAAAAAACAGCATATAAATATTTTTTTTATATCTAATTATTATGTGACAACTTCAAAGCAAGCCCTTGGACGATGATGTCACTATACAACATGTAAATGTTTCTCGATTTAACTCTAGTTTAGAATATCATTGCGAAGTTTTCTTTAAAAGTGAAATAATTCAATGGTTATCATTTTCAAAGTCCGTAAATTATATCAACCAAATTGGCCGTGTATAAAAGCTTCTATTCGTCTAATCGCATGATTTAAATGTTAAAAATAAACAAGATCTGTGCGTTACTTTGGTTAATAAAATGTATATAAATTGGCAGTTATATTCACAATTAAAAATAACAATTGATTAAGTAATATGTACTTATTCATTATTACTAATATTATAAATAAATAGGTATTTTACATTAAAAATCATTGCATCTTTGGTATATAAAAAGAAAGCATTGATGAGTATTATGAAGGCAATTTCGAGAATGCCCTTTTAATATTTTATTTATAATATTATGGCGTATAAAAATCTTTAAATAGCTAACGCGGTTTCTCAATACTTGTCTATTGTAACTGCTACTCTAATGGCGTACTAAGTTTCGCTCTAACGTCAGTCCAAACGAAAAACTGTGTAATTGTAATTATAAATTACAGTCCTGCCACACACACTTAGGCACTAAGTTATTACAAATAGAATTGACATTTTCTTTACACACATTCAATTGTCAACAATGAGCGAAGATGAATTTGAACATGGTGTGAAATCTATCCACTAGTCGGGGTACGAAATAAACACTAGCTACGGTACAAAAAATAAAGCGTTCTTAATGGAAATTTCCAATTTTCTTCGCAATTACAAAATAGCAACAGGAACGTTTCTCGAAAAAGTATTTTTTAACTTTTGGCCCACTTTTCTGTGCCCCTATCATGAGTTCACAGTGTTGACAGTCGGTAGCAACTGCTTAATAGTACATTGTGCACATAGGGCGGAAAGTAGGTTATTGCAAACGACGTTGACAAGGGTTCCATCGTCACGAGTTTGCATATAACCTTGACGCCCGTGTAACGCCACATTTGTGAGAACAACGCGTTTACTTAGTTTTCTACTATCAACATTGTAAACTCATGGCAGAGATACTGGAAATTTAAATTTAGATACGACAATACTAAAAAGCTGGATGTCGTTTTCTGTCACAGAATGTATGTACATGATGATCACAGTTACAAATTTAATTGTAACTATACAATGGCGCACCAACAATCTAAATTGGCAATGTAGCATCACAGTGCCCTTACCTATATATCTATGTATACATAATCGCTAAATCTATAACATTATCGAATAATTATCAAAACGATCCCCTAGTAATCTAAATACATCCATAAGAAGCACTTTTTAATGAATGAATAAGTATCAGAACTTTACATATCATTTTTATACAGGGTAAATATAATTTATATCATATTTTGTGTTTTATAATGACTTGGTTTCAACTATTACATTATAGTTATTATTTATTTGGATATAAGTCCACAACAGTAATAGTTCAGCGTTGGTTGTACGCGCAACTTTTCTCGTATGTAGCTGTTAATAACGCAGATATGCGATTTTTATAAGCGTTTCGATTAATGTTGTCGAGTTATACAGTCGCTAGAGCTTTAGAATAAGAGAACCCCTATAATTAATGACGTAATTCTACAAATAGTAGGTATGTAAAAAAGCGATTTGTGAACTCATTGCAGTTTTCCCATTTCCCAGATTTTGCCATCAATGGGAGTTTCAAAAGAGTCCTTAGAAAATCCTGCAATGTACTCACAATTTCTCATTAACTATTCATCAACATTTTACCAACAAAAACTTATATTTTTCCTATATTAATAGTAAACTATGTATAATCTAAACAATCTACAATTTGTTACATTATTCATCTTACATATTCCATCGATAATATTGTTCCGTCCTTAAAAAAAATGAATAATTTTTTCTCACCTTCGACTCTGACCACGGAATGGTCAAATGCGTCGATCGCAAATACGTATTTAATGGAAGAATATCCGTCACAAAGTTTTATAATGCGACATCGCTATACACATTGAATGATTTTATCCTCGGTGGAAATTATTCTAATAACTCGTCGAGATTTACAATAAGTAACATTGTCTCCTACGGCGTCGTAGAGGAAATCGTCGGGCAACAATTTATAGGGTCATTATCGCGGCGAAAACAAAACACGATCGTCTTAACATTTCTACACGTTTTCGAACAAGGATCACTTTCGATTCACGAATTTTGGAATGTCTCAGTCCACAATAAAGTCTTTCTAATTTCGAAGGTCCGTTTAGGTTTACTCGTTTATGAACGAGGGTGTTCCGAGATGGTGCGGGGCGGTGAGAGGCGACGCGCTAGTTGCGGTAGATGTAGGCGCAGGGCTGCGGAGCGGGCGGCGGCGGGGTGGGAGGGCGCTCACCCGACGGCGACGGCGACGACGACGGCGGGGACGGTGACGACGACGACCCACCGCTCGCGGATGCCGACCCGGAACCGCTGCTGCGCTGCGACACTGCACAAAAATACACTATTCAAACCTGGGTTCGAAATTCCCACCTCCGTGGTCGAGTGGCTTGCACATCGGTTTTCAAGGTGTGGTCCCAGGTTCGATGTTCGGCCGGGTCAGTGTAGAATTTTTGTATATTGTCTCGAGTCTGGGTGTTTGTGGTACCATCGCTGTTTCCGATTTCCATAAAACAAGTGCTTTAGTTGCTTACTTTAGGATCAGAGCAACGTATGTCATGTTGCCTACATTTATTTCTCTTCTAAGTTTGGGTGTAATTTGTGGTTGTCTATGTGTTTGTCCATGGCACGCGCGACACAGGGTTTCCCTAGTGCGGGGCTACATTGAGTATGTGCGTATTATTATGTCTAATATTTGTATTATTTATCAAGATATTTTCTTTGATAATTATCTTATATGTATCAGATAATTATCTATACTGATTCATACTTTTTACTCTTTTTTTTTACTAAAACTGATAAACTGGGAGAACAAGATAAACAGGAAGAAAAAATCTTTCAGAAAACGATTTGGTTTTTAACTTTTTTTTTAGAATGACTTTGACACATTTAGATACTGAAACAAACTTATGGTACGACATTGCTAGCCGTAGCATTTTGTTATTTCAATTATTTTTTGCAAATATCAAGATAATCTAGACATATGTATTACGATAATTATCGTGATAAATATAAATGATAATAATCGCTTCAAACCCTGATTAAAATTGAAGCATTGGGAACAACAAGGGCGTTCGGCACCCAAAGTCCGTTTTCCTGTTATTGCATCAAATCATGCAAAGTGTCATCTAGTATCAAGTGACAAAAACTCATTTCGATCTACCCGTTCTAGATGGCGTGAGAGTCATTTGTTTAGACGGTGGCGCTAAGCCCTTGTTACATAGATTATAATAATGCGTTTGAATTTCGGACACGTTACGACATGCAGTTTGTAAAAACTTTTTTAATGTAAAATAATGTCTGAAACGAGCAATTTTAGTGATTTTAGTGCAGATGATGACCAAAGTGAATATGTCCCCCCAAAAAAGAAAGGAAAAAAGAAGTTAAGGAATGAAAACGCATGGAAAAAAAATGTGCGAAAGATAAAGAGAAATTCGGGTGAAGAGTACACATCAGTTCGAGGTAAGAAAGTACCTAAAAAGGTTTTTCAACATATCACTAAGTGTTGTTCTAAAAATTGCTGTAATAACCTCGATAACAGTGCACAGAAAAAGATTTTCTCGGAATTTTGGGGTATAGGTGACAAAACTCAGCAAGATACCCTCTTATTGTCGTGTTTAGAAAACGTTCCAAAATTGAGAGAGAATGTTGGGCCTAACAAGAAGAAACGAGATAATCAATGGAAATATTTTTTTACCGTACAGGGTTTTAAGATACGAACTTGCAGAAAATTATTACTATCGCTTTTGAAAATTTCGGAAAAACGTCTAAGAATAGTTCAAAAAAATAAATTGTCAGGAGAACCAGTCCGTGATATGAGAGGAAAACACGAGAATCGTCCCCACAAAATTTCTCATGACGTGTATAATATGATAAAAGAACATTGGGCCTTATTGCCCAGCAAGAAGTCACATTATGGTCGAGCTAGTGAAAGGAGATATTTTGAAAACCCTGATTTATCAGTTTTAAAACTATACAGAGCCTTTCAGCAGCATTATTTCGAGCAAAAAAACACTGTTTTAAAAATGAAGTACAACACTTATCATAGATATTTTCGAGAACACAGCATTTACTCATTTAGACTACCTAGAACAGATGTCTGTGATTTCTGTACAAAATGTAAAGTTCTGTTAGAAGCTAACCCGGAAGACCCATGTAAGATTCAATACAGGTTGCATTAAAAAAAAAATTAAATCATATAATGCACTCAAAAAAATGCTTTTGGAGTCAGTTCAGAATAATCCTGACACAGAGACACTTGTACTGGAGTTTGATTATGCCCAAAATTTGCCTATATCAAAACTTAACATAACTTCACAGTTTTACAAGAGATTATTGTGGCTTTTTAATTTCAACATTCATTGTCACAATGATGGATCAAGTTCCTTTTATTGCTTTCTGGAAACTGATTCCAAAAAGGGACCCAACACTGTGTGTTCTTTCATACATCATTTTGTTATAGAAAAGTTGCAACATTTGTCTAATATTAAGAAGATAGTATTTTTATCTGACTCTTGTGGAGGCCAAAATAAAAATATAACAGTGGTAATGTTCTGCACATGGTTGGCGAAAAGCTTAAATATTACCGTTGAACATATATTTCCAGTAAGAGGCCACTCTTATAACCAATGTGACAGAAACTTCGGAAGATATAGCATATTGCTAAAATCGTTGGAAACTATTGAGACAGCTGAACAATACCTTAGGGTATTGTCATCAGCAAGAAGCAATCCAAGCCCATTCAAGGTACTGATGGCTAGTTACCTTATTGAAGACTGGAATAAAGGTTTGCAGTCCTATGTGTCTAAGATACCCACAGGAAAACAACAAACCCGATTTTCTATACAGAAATACGTGAAACTAGAATTTACTCCTGAAGGCGACATAACAACCTCAAGATTTTATTCAGCTTCGGATCAGAAGTGATTGAGCAAAGATGATTTAAATTTACAGCAGGTTGAAAAACCTGGAGTGAAGGAAGTTAAGATTAAGGACATTTTGTCATTGACGCCTTACATGAAACCCGAAAACGCAGAATGGCTTAAACAGGTTCTGACCTTCCAAGAGGAGCAAGACCTAAAAATCCTGAACCTGGACCCTCTAGAAGGCTATTAAGGCCTCATAAAAATGATTCTGACGATTCATTTGGATCCAGTGAATTTAATTGAAAATGTTTGAACGTATTTTCAATGCGATAAAACTATGTTTCAACTTTTTTCAACGTTGCTGTCTATTTACTTTCAAATAAAGCATATTAATATAAGTATTTGAAGTTAATTCTTTCCTCAAAAACCAATAATAAAATGAACGCCCCGTTAATTTACCGGTTGGATGCAACAAGGGCGGTTAACACAAGTTAAAAAAAAAATATTTAAAAATGTTTTCAATTGTTTTAAAATAATAACAACAGCTTAAACTTTTAGCTAAATCATAGGAGAAATAAATCAAAAAGTATATAAGAGTCATATTATATATACTAAAAAGATACAAGGTATTAAAACCTTTGTTTTCAGTTTTCCTCGAAACTCATTTTTCCGAGATACGCCATTATTGCACCCAATGCTTCAATTATGGATGACTTATTTTGGTACAAAGCAAACGATGCACCCCTAAGTTACCTTACAATACTCTTGGTGCTAGCACGGTGTATCTCACCTTCAAGTACCTGGGCCAACTACCAAACAAAAGCCTGACTATGGCAAATGTCAGCGCCGCAGATGCCGTATTGCAACATCTGAAGTACGCATCGCTAAGCGAAATATAAATAGATGTACTTCGATACTACCTTCATTATTTATTTTTCCTTTTTTATATTTATTATCCAAAACAAAAATAATTAACAGTGGCTCTTAAATGTAATCTACCTACTTAATCCCTTTAACGGATTCATGCGTAGGTAGCTATAGACGCCGATTTCACAGCATCATACGTTATTAGTTTATTACTAAATATTAGAACAAACTGGTCATTCTTTTGAGAAAAAATAGTAATAAAAAAATGGAAAATTCCTACTGTGAAATTTTTGAATCTTATATTTTGACTAATTAATCTAATAATATTAATTTTAGTATCGTTTGATAACGTATGTCTTCTTTTCTTTGTTGTCCTTCTCCTGTAACCTGCCTTTACTTTTCTGTCTTTCAACAACAAATGCCACTGAGTACAACGAAATTTTATTACTCCACCATGACTCTGCAATTCGGGAATTTGGTCGCCCAGGTCACGTTTTTGCGGGTAACACGCACTTGATGGTATTTTGAAAATTAGGTCGACGTCATTGTCTCTAAGATTTAACACGGTTCTGTTTTTATAATAAAGTTTTTTATATTGCCTTATACCATTGACAATATCACATTAACGCTTTAATAGAAAACATTGAAGTTTGAACACAAATGTGCAAAAGCTTTCGATACGTTACCTACCTTACAATTACTCTTGAGGGTGTTGTATTTTGACGTTAATTTAATCATATTTTAGTGACTCAATTCCTAAGACAGGTCTAACCTGGTGTAGGGGTTTGAATACCCGTATTTTAATTATAATTACGTTGAATAACTTTGATTATTTTGTAACCCATATGGTGTAACATATGTGCGAAATAAATACATTTTATTATTATTGGTGGTCACCCACAATCCATGTTCTGCAGATCGAGTAGATAATAGTTATACTATATTAACCTTTTAGTTGTCCAAAGTTAGAAACGTAGGATATGTGACAGAATTTCTAAATATTTTTGGTCTAAAATGTTGGTCCAAAGTGGAAAAGAAAATATGACGGAGGCCAGCGGGCTGTGATCGTCGCATTCAGAGGAAGGAGAGTTTGATTGGAGGATAAGACATACTTACCCAACGTATGGTGGTGGTGCGTATTATGCTTATGGTGGTGCATTTGGTCGCGCGTATCCGCCCCGCTTGTTTCTCAGAGGTACACCTTCTTCACTGAACGCGTGGTCGAGAACCCGTTGTCGTTCCCGCGCCGGTACCCATCGCCCTGCGGTCCGAATAGTCCTGCGTTAACTGACATGCATTCGTGAATATGCGTGCATGGGTTAGTCGGATGCGATGATCGTTTGTCACCAAATTCTGAGTTATATTCCTAACTTTTGTCGTACAGGAAGTCGATAAAGATGAAAACTTTTTAGTAACAAAAGTTTGTTGCTGGAAAGTTCCAAAACTATAAGGCAGTTCCCAAAGAAAGTTTTAAAAATCGTTAAGCAACATCGCACTATTTCCTTGAAACTTTTGGCAGCTTTTTCCGAGTATCTCAGAATTTGATGAAAGATGATTAATAAATGGCAAATGGTAAAAACTTTGTGAGTTGCAAAATATTAAATTTTCAGCTGATGAAAAAATTATGGACATCAATGGTGATGATGAAAATGGAAAAGCTTTGAGGAGTTATTGAAAATTATGATGAGCGAAACATGCGGTTTTTAATGACGAGATTAGATTTAATAATGACTTACTTTCAGGGCTGTTAGGGGTTAACAAATTTAATACTCATGCTGAATATATTTAATATTAAACACATAGATATTATCTGAAAATGTTGGTTATTGGGTACACTTTACATTTCAAGTAAACAACTATTTTGTTACTGTTTATATTCTGAAAAAGAAAACTATAACGAGTCCATACAAAAATACGTAGGAATGCTAATATTGTTTTTCAATATACCTAATGGTGAATCATTCAGAAATATTTATTTGAATTGATTTTTATCTTTATTTTTATTTTTGATGGACTGCTCTAAATTCATATAAAAATATAACTTGATCAATCGTTAAGGTGTTTGCAATGAATTTACAAGTACAAATTATATTATCATAAAAGTAATATATTATATAATACATCCCTCTATAAAACCAGAGAGACGACACAAAGTTCATTTCAAATCGATCAAGTTACTTATGTAAGGGCGCGTTTCAATTATGCAAGTAGCTTGAATGCAAGTTGAAATTCTGTACGGAAACTTGAGGTAGTCGTAAAAACTAATCATAGTCGTACGACCATGCATAAATGAGACGCGAAATTAAGGCGCTACGCAAACGACGTCCATTTTTGTGGGCTTTGCGACAAGACAATGCGACAGAGTCTTGGCACAAAAAAGAACATTATATGTGTAGGGCCCTAAAGCTTAACAACCATGCAAGAGAAGAAAAAAAGGAAGACAACTGACATTGACCTGATGGGAGCGTAGAGTCCCGAAGTTGTCCCGACGGTAAGAATCGGGCTGGAACTGGAACAGCGTTTCGTGGTGAGGGTGGTATGGAGGGTGTTTGCGGAGAGTTGCCCGGGGAGACGCTGGCTTCGGCTGCGGGGCCAAGACTGGTTCCGCGTAGGTTACTTCTTCTACTTGTTGGAGGAGCTTTGGTTCTGCTTGGATTCTGTGGGTGAAAACAAAATTGTTAATATAAAAAACAATAGAGTTCTTTTTTGTGTGTACCATACAGACCATTATGTGCCACATAGACTCGATTGAATACAAACGTGTAAGGACATATCCTGAGCGAATAAAAATCAATCTTCTCAGAACTATTTGAAATACTGCCACCATACATATTTCTGTCGTGAAGCAATAATGTGAGCATTCACGGGAGTTTTCAATTTATACCATAGCACTACAACTATCATGTACAGGCGTGTGGCACCAGGCGCGCGACTTGATTGTCACTTGATGTCACAAACAATATTTATAAATATTTAACACTACCTTAATATCATTAATATGAATGCTTTTCTCTTTTTATTGTGTTGTGTTTATTGTCTTCCCTTATTGGTTTGACTTCTTTAAATAGAAAGTACAAAACTAACCTGTTAATATTTTGTCTCTGTTCAAAATACTCGTACTCCGTATCGGGATAAGGCATATTGTCATCTTCATCCTTCTTGCATCGTCTTCCGCATATGTATCCAGCAGCAAACCCAGCGCCTAAAGCTGCCAACGCTCCAGCAGCTACAGCCAGAGCCAGTGTTTCTACTGAGTACGCTGCTGGAGGGGGATCAGCCGCTAAAACTTCTGGGCCTGCAATATTAATAAGTGAACAAGTGCCTCAGGTTTAATTTACTGATATCAAACTAGGGAACTCCCAGTAATCGAATTTAACTGTAATTTTTTATTTGTTTGTTAGTTTGCAATATTTCTCCTTATTTCTGTTTTGCACGCTGGTGCTAGCTTACGTCCTTTGTGCTCACTATCCTGCTCTTTTATAAATAAGTCCACCTTTGCTCACATTTTGTATAATTAATATTTATTTGTATATGTTTGGTTAAAAAGATAATATATAATTTGGAAATTATATTAATTTAAATTATATAATGCACTCACAAACACAGTCAAATTACGCAATTAAATAGAACATTTCTCTTCAAAGAGTCCAAAACAAAATTCATTCGCTGTTAATGTTTTTGCTATCAACTTGCAAAACCACGATTAACGTGAGAAATGGCGAATAATTATGTACCTTCGTTATTATTATTGCCACCTTTCCCATCTTTATCCTGTACGATATTGATGACTTCTCCCTTGTTCTCTCCTCTCGCGTCGTCGTACAGTCCAGAACTCAGGCCCCCAACTGCACCCGCATCTTTGCCTAAAATGCATGCATTTGTTAGTTATCGCGTGTAGGTTTGTATAGTGATAGTGAAATGTAGTTAGTTTATGTGACAGGTATTGGCTGAAATCTGTGCATGTATTATTATGATGCTACAGTTTATCAATACACCCATGCTAAGTCATTATTATATTAAAATGTATTAAAATCATCTACGACAGGAAGATTCGATATGGTAATTATCATTTGATAATTATCATTGAGAATTCTCATGATAATTATCCCGATAATTATCTTATGATACTTTAATATTTTCTTACTGTTTGTTATTTTTAGTAAAAAAATTAAGAGATCAAAGTATGAATCAACATAGATAATTATCGAATATATACACGATAATTATCAAAATATTTATCAAAGAAAATAAATGTCATGATAATTTCGAACCCTGACCCTGATAGTAATGTTCCAAGTAGCCAATAAACAATGAAATGGATAAAACACTCATTTGATGAAAATGTGCAAACATTCTTGTGCACCGAATGCAGAACACCAATTTAAATTTTGTAATGTCCGAATTGTTCTCTCCTTTGTTGCATTTTACAATAGGATAATGAGACAAAAAGACATAGTCACAGGCCTTAACTACTCACTGTGAGGGCAGGCAGTATGACTTCCAGTAGCGACACTCTGATAGAAGGAGTTTTCGTCCAGCCATCGGCTGACTCCGTGCGAATAAGCACGGCATCGTCCTGCCTGTTTATCCCATGCACAGTATGGGTCTTGCAAGGCTACACATTCGCTGGAACAAAAAAAATCGGGATGATTTTATGAGACATTACTTAGGTAGACTGATGTTCAGTTTCTTAAATATTAACCAATCAATTGATTAAGCAAGGATTTTCTATACTAGACATTAAAAATTATCATAAGTATTTTAAGAAACTCAACCAAAACAATCTACTTTCATGACTCTTTTATTAATGAATGAAAGACGTTTATGAAGACTGGTTTTGGTTGGGTTTCTTAAAATAGAATGAATGAATTCAATAGTGACATATTCTAGTATGGAACATCAACAAACAATAATATTAGAATAGGCTAAAGTACGACAGAGAGTATTGGTAAGTAGCAATTTTTTCAAGGGAACCTTAAGATAGAATTTAGGAGATGCAAAATAGTTTTAGGTTTTTATTAGTTTATGTGACTGTTACATAATGAAACGCATTGAAATACTAGAGTTTTAATGCCTAATTATGTACAGTTACGTACACCGCTTTATATATACACATATTATAAGCTCTCTATGATGTGTTCAGGAACCGCATGTTACGACTGGCGAAATGGCGGCAAATAAAAACTTTTCTCACGCATGTCACTCATACGTAGTTTTTATTTAATTCATAGACAAACTAGAGTCGGCCCCAACTATCATATCGTCCGATATCAAGTAGGTAATGTGCTTTTTTTCTACCTACCTTTCTAACGTGTTAAATTTCATTTCGAATAAAACTTAATCTCGACTGATATTAGAATTGAGGTCGAATCAAATTGTTTTGTTTTTCAGAGATGTTCGATAATTTGAATGTAATAATTTTATTTAATTTTTTTTATTAAGTTTTTGGCAAAGCCATCAGCCTAAACATGAAGTTTAAATATGTTTCAGTAAATATGGCCGCCACAAAGAGGATAGGCAAATTGAGGCGGCGCGCGGCGTGCTTGGATTGACTCGGGATTCCTTAAAACAGGCCGATACGGGTAGATCGAGATTCGTATAATTTCGCGTTTTAATCTTCGATTAAGGCACAATAGCACTATCCTATTCCACTTTAAACTAGATTTCTCAAAATAATTGAAAGTCAAAATAAAAACGACACTTTTCCCTCCAAAAGGTCCAGAGCGAATCTGAATGTAATAATAAAATCGAATTCGATGAAGCAATAATAAAATTTTCACAGATAAGAAATTTGTTCTAACTAAACAATTTACATATAAGCTGGTCGTAATTTGCAGTTTTTTAACACATTATAGAGGGTTTATGATACGTGTGTAAATAAAGAATTATTTAGAGTATAAAAATATGCATGCAACTAATTTCAGAATGTCTTTAGGCAGGTTCACGTTACGTAGGTTAGTGAGCATAATGTAGGTTCTCACACCAATCAATAATCCATGGTTTTAGGCTTAAAACATTATTGTTATCTATAGGCTTGGATCGGGTTAGGTAAAGAAAAAGTTGATCTTAAATTGACAAGTTACAAAAAGTTGTCAGTTTTATATTTTTTAAATACTTACGAACAGGAGCTAATTTTGTCGCTCGAACACCGATGCAATCGCAAACTCAACACCTCTCTGTCTGACACAGCTATTAATCTGGCTGCATCTCTTCCAGCTCTGGCCACTCTCAGGGCTCTGACTGGAGAGCCAGCTGCGAATGCTTGTAGTTCTTCTATTACGACTGGAACAGCTCTTTTATTGGAGTCGTATGACACTGCGTTAATGGCTTTGATGATTTTACCGTTATCTGAAAACGAAATCAGATGTATCAGAAAATGTACTTGTGCCTGTCATAATTAGACCTTATTGACGATTCATTTCTGTCATACATTGTGAAGTCTATGATGGGTCTTTAAATTTTGGTTAATGTACAGTTTGAGAGTTTGAAGTTTTGTAAACTTACCTGTTCCAATAAATAGTACGTCATAGGCTTTCCCTCCAGGAGTCTTCACTTGTGGATCTACAGCTATTTGAGTAAACCGATAGCTGGAACAATATAATATTAACTTTAAAGTTTGGTCCTTCGAGCCGGATAAAAGAAATCTGACATAGTTTTAAAATTGTGTATTGACATGTAACACACAAAATCAGCACTTTTTACATCACGTTTTTGGAACATTAGCTCATCGAGCAAAATTTCGGTAAGACTAGGTGTACAATTACACCTAGCCTTACCGAAATTTTGCTTGACGAGCGAATTACTCACTGAAAGCTAGTCCTAATAACAATAGGTTCTCCAAAGAATGCTGGCACTGATTCGTCCATCAGTGCGTGTGTTTTAATGAAGTTGAGAGTTTGATCTGGCAGCTGTCTTGAGTCATTGTGACATGTTCCAGGACGAGGTTCTGGCACCTGTATGTGAATAATTATTTTATATTAAATTTTAGTCAACTAACTCCGTGGCTGAACGGTTACCATACTGGACTACCACGCAGAAGTCCCGGGTTCGGTTCCCGGGCCGAGAGGAATATTTATATGGACTACATTTATTTCTCTCGTGACTTTGGGTGTAATTTGTGGCTGTCTATGAGTTTGTCCATGGCACCCACAGTATAAGGGCTATGAGTGTATGCGTTACTCTTTCTTCACTTTGCATAAAAATTTTGTAATGAACGTCTTTTAGTGAATCTAGAAAATATATTATTTCACCGTCTAATATCTACAAACTCGTCTTTATGTATATTTCACTTAAATTGAAAACTAATTAATCAAAACTCACCTTTGCAGTATTAACAGGCAGCCAATTTGAATTAAGGGCGCTTTGTTCCTTAAATGTTCCTTCAAAGGTATCAGCAATATCTTGCATGCTAAAGGCGCACACAGCACTCCCTGATATGCTGTTAGGTGGTGTCGTGAACGTACCGTAGATTAACTGAGCGTTCAGGCCTCCGTAAACGCCTTCTATTAGCTCAGTTGTAGATTCTGTGAAAAAAAAAATTACTGAAAGCATGCGTACATAGACACTATCCATGAGTCATATCCGGCTCGAAGGACCATGTAGAAAAATATGAGAACTATTAGTATATATAATATAATAGTATATAATATTAGTATTATACTAGTTTATTAGGGACCTGGTTTAGTGACAATTAGCCACCTTGGTGGGTCGTAAGCGCAAATCTTAATACATTCACTGATAAAAACAGTTGCTTGCCAACGTCACTGAAAAAGTTCGGTATCTCGCTAGGTGGCGTCTCGGTGCTGAGAGTTAAACATACCCACATTTAGGTTGTACTACGACATTTAAGTCTGCGGCATAACTGTACTCTTAAAGTTCATCAATACAAGTACTTACGAATTTCATTAAAATAGAAAGGAAAGTCGCCAGCAACGGAGCAGTTAAGCCGGGACTTGAGGAATGATGTCCAACGTTGCTTGAACCGATGCGGCCCGCCACGATCGTCGCGGCAAACGCGCGCAACGCGGGAAAATACCGACTGAAACATATGTCATATTTATATAAATTGTCATAGTTTACAATATGTAGTTATTTAAGTAAGAATATTTTTGTTATGGGCTTTAGTCTTAAGGGTTATTTTAAACACAACTGACAGTCAAGTGATATGCACGATCATAGGTTCCGAATTTGATTTCCAGCTTGTTACCTCCGAGACTTATTGTGCTTAGACTAGTAAAAGGGAATGCTTCGATGGTTTAGTTATATGGAGAGGATGGATATTAATAGAATAACGACATACATTTACAGAGCAAACACGGAACGAAACGTGGGCAAAGGTCAACCTTAGCGTAAATATCTCGTTTAGATAGAGAAGGGTTTCTTAACCATGGTCCATGGATCTTCAAGAGGTCCGAGTAGTGAACGCCGGGGGTCCATGGCGAGCCTACCTAATATAATGCATTAATATAAAAATTGGAGTACAATTTGTTGTGAGTAAATAGATAAAGTGCGCGTGACCTTTTTGATTTTTTAAATTTTCGCGCCCTTTGAAGGCTATTCATTATTAGAGCGAGCGAGTGCGCGTCAATGCATTAAGCAATCCGCGAGCCTTCCGTCTTCTTCATCTTTTCAGACAAGGTTCGTACGCCATTTGAAATTTTGAGTGTAGTCCATGACTAGCAAATTGTTGGAGATAGAGGAATCAGGAAGGAAAAAAACTCTCAGGTCAAAATATTAGGAATAAATGGTTGTCTATTAATTAAAACTAACTAATGACTGTTGAGGTAGTGAACAGGTAGGTATGTCAAGAACGTAGCGGATGGAAATTTATAGTTTCCACCTGACACGGTGGGAGACAAATGTAGTTAATACGTATGCATTCTATTACATCCCCATAAGATTGTATTTTGCTTGAAGTGATCAGTATGACTTTATTATGTCTCTCTGCCTTGTAATAAATAATTACCTTTCCACAATTGATGTACTCCACCGCTGTTTCCCTAAAGAAAAAGTACACGAAGTTACCATGTACTAGTGAATTCACGAAGTCCGGAGCTGTGGACAAAAGTAAATATTAGTGAAGTAGATTAAGAACCTACTCATATTCTTTATAACTTAGTTATAGCAGTAGAGCTCCTTGTGAAAGAGTTCATTCAGGCAAGTACTGCCACCTAACCTATTTCTGCCGCCAGGCGGTAATGTGTAGGACCTATCTGACTATAGTTTGGCATCTTTTTTTATGATACCAAGTAACGGGACGAACAAGTCGTGCGCCTGCTGGTAAGCGACACGCCTATCCATAACAGCTGCAGTGCCATTCTCATCTTTAAATCACAAAGATCACCCTGAGACATTTCACCAGCACCCTTACCATGCAAAACCGGAACGCAGTAATGCTCACAGTGGCAGAAATATGAAAGGTGGCAAAATTTCCCTGACGAACTCTTTCACAAGGAGCTCTGCTGCTACTTGCCATTATTAAAGTCTAACCCATTCAAAGCCATATTCGAAACTAATTCCTCTTCAGCAATCCAAAGAAAGCCTTAAACCCTATCGCACCTATAATTCTAATGGCATTAATCCGATTGCGTGAGTTGACGAGTCACACACAAGTGAGCACTGCTAAATTAAATTACCTTGACGGATGTATGCTTGACGGTATTCGAGTGCAATCGACCAAATTTACGTGTATGTGACGATTAACGGAAGCTCTGGTAAAGTAAGTAGCTCAGTAAGTGCATGTAGTAAAGGTCACAGTTTGTACTTTAACAGAATGTTATTAATCAACTGCCTCCGTGGCGAACGGTTACAGTTGACAGTCCAGGGCGCTGGGACTGTCATTCAGAGGATCGTTACCCGAGCCGAAAGAAATATTTGTAAGGCCTACATGTGTGTGTTTATGGCACCCGCGATACAGGGTTCCCTTAGGCGGGGTTATGAGTGTGTGCGTTAGAAATAAAAACTAGAAAAAAATCTTAGCGCAAAAATATTGGATATCTACTGTAAACGGTTTTAATGATTTATTTTCGAACATTTTATGAAGATTTTTATTTCATTCATTCATTCTGCAATCCTCATAATGAGCATCTAGGTCGTCACGCTAGCTCTATCTGGCCCTTCCATGTCTCAGGCTTGGGTTGGGAGAGATCCACTCTATGGTGGTCTTTGTCCGCTAGTCGCCTGATGATTATGATGATTTTTCCTAAGTTCTCTAATACATTAATTACTTTGATAATGGTAACGTAACTACATTGTAACTATTAAAAATATTGTATATGATTATTAATACAAAGATCTAACACTCAGAAAAAATTCCTTCGATCCGGCCGGACTCGAACCGACGTCTTCTAGCATACCGTGCCAGACGCTATACCAACTAAGCCACGGAACAAACCAGCGGACCTCACATTTTTTTTTTGTGCATGTTGTCGTGTCTTTGTATTTGGTTTTTCAACAACTTTTAGTTTTAGCGCCATCTATGAGAAATCTATGAAAGTTTTATCATAACAAACTAGTGGAGTAATTTCACAAAAAAGAATTTAATATCAATTCAATAAACATTTAAAATATAGTATATTTTTACGCAAAAATTATAAAACTAAATGTAATATTTATTTATTAAATATCACAATTAGTGTTGGATGGTTTCAATCTGTTTTGTCGGAGCGAACACGTAGTGCCGCGGAGATTTTGTATACATGTTTGGTTAGGTAGTATTTTGATTAATCTGTCTGGATTTTTATCAAGAGTTTTCTTGAGGTGTTTTTCTAATGGGGTTGACATGTTCAATAACGATCAAAGCCCCTAAATAAATAGAGTTAAAAAAATATCACGCTGTGATACCAGCCATTATAATATTTTTTTTGTGAAAATATTCCATTACTTTGTTATTATTATTAATACATACATAGATCGAACAATACAATGGAAAATTCCTGCGATCTAATTGGTCTCGAACTAGATTTGTTACCATGTCGAGATCATCGCTCTTATCAACTTGGCTACAGACGGAGTCAATCGATTTTTCCAATTTTTCTATTGTGTTTGTTACAGATCTTTGTATAGGGTTTTTAAGTGGCTTTTTTGTCGTTAGCGGCTCCTTTGAGAAGCTATTATTAGCTACTTCTAAACATAATATGTTATTCGACTCATTCATTAAGACACGTTACATAAGTTAAGATAAGATGAGAGAAATTTATTTCAATATAACTTAATCTAATACAAGTAAAACAAATGTAAAGAAAGCTATTATAGTATTAAAATAAGCATTGGATAGGCACCTAAATTATACAATCTTCATAGTAAATCATAGGATTTTAATTTTAGAACCTAATGTGTAATTGCGATGCCTAAACTAAGTAAATGTGTAACTGTATTTTAGGTATCTTTTTGGGCAAATTTCTTTATATAACCGCTTAAAAACTTATTCTGTATTTAACAATAAAAAATTTGTAGTTATAAATTTATGGCTATATACTTGTATAAAAATAATTATGAAACAACTTCCAGCAAGCCTTTTGTTTCATTGTAAGTTTTTCTCTTAACCCATAATTTGGCGGTTTTTTTACATTCTATTTTAATCATGGCGAAATAATGCAAAGACGAATTTAATTTAAATTATTATATTTAAAAAAATTAATTTAAAACAAAAGAATCTATGCGAGTGTGTTGTGCGGAGTTGTGAGCGAAATGGGAAGGTATCGAGTCGTCGGTGGTTGGTTAAAGTAACGGAGTCAAATGAAGTAATTCAGTGCTTTTTCAAAATTATTTGTAAATATAAATGGAGACTATGCTACAGAAGTATCTCACCAGCACTGTTTACAATAACAACATTCGCTCAATAGCATCGAATTGTCCAAATAAACATCTACTGGTAGTCTACATGCAAATGTTGTCATGATGCATAGGTAAATAAATTCCCCTATGTGTACAGGCCTAAATTTAATTTATAAGTTAGCACCTATGAGCACTGAGCATTCGAGGGTTTAATCGTGTAATTAGATTGGTATATATATTCAGTTGATAGCTTTCCTAATTACGTTGTTTGTTTATTTAGGTATAACTTCTCTGATAGAATCTGTTTTAATATTAATGTTTGTAAGTTCAGAAGTAGATTTATTATATATTTTGAAATAGCGTCTAATCTTAATTTGATATTGTAATATTTCGCCGTAAACAAGTATTTTTTTTAATGTGAAATAGGAACGAAGCGAGCAGAAGAGACATTTGTTTGAGAAGTAGGCTTCCTCGCCTATGGACTTTTACATCACCAGGGAAGCTGCCTGTGCGTGGCCAGTCTTGTGTTATTTTGAGTTGTCTTATTTTTGACGAAAATTTTGTCAAGCGCTCGTATTAACTCTGATATTTAAAATCACAACTCTCCAAAGATGTGCAGGCACTTTGTGAGTGAAGACCTGTAATGTGTGAAAATCAATGGTGTCGATTCTGACTTCCACCTGAACTTTTAATATAAACGTATTTGATAAGAATATCGTTGCGTTCTTATTCTCTGTTAGTTTAATCAATATTTAACATCTATCAACATTGACTTACAAATAAATGGACGACGGGTCTAATACAAAAACCACGAAAAAAATGTCCCAAGTCAACCTATTCGAAATTTAAATTGTTATGTCATCGCAGTATCGCGCTGTCCGTAGAACAAATGAAGACTAAAGCGGAGTGTCGCGCTCTGTATACGATTTTAGCGCCTTACAAGTGCGGACACTTTTTAGCGCGGACCCGACGTCCATATAATTGTAAGTCAATGTCTATCAAGCTAGTTATTAATGGCAATCACAAAACAAAAGGCATTACGCTAAATATTTCGCTGTGATTGTGTAAAACAAGCGTTCTTTAATTAGTTAATCGGAGTTTAAATATATTTATACGTGGCTTATCAGCGCTATCCGATTGGCTAGTTTACGACATTTAATTTTTTATACAGTCGTCATGAAATACCATTATTTAAATACGCTTATTGTAGCGTAAAATGATAAAAAATAGTACGTACCATTTAAGGTCATAGAATCATACGGCTCCGTTTGCAGGGGTTCTCTATAGATGATGGGCTCCATACCACTAAAGTCTGCTACCGTCCCTGAATATAGCTCTCCGTCTGAAAGAAATACAAAAAAACAGTTAGTTTATTTCAAAACTGACGTATTAGATAACAGAAACAAGTTACGGTAGGTACCACAGAAGTGCGCGTATTAGGTAACAGAAACATGTTGTGGGCAGTACCACAGAAGTGGGCAACGTATTAGATAACAGAAACGCATTGTGGGCAGTACCAGGAAGTGGACAACGTATTAGATAACAGAAACACATTGTAGAGTATACCACAGGATAACCTATTTAAGTAACGATTTAAAAAAGTAACTGATAATAAACAACATACTGATTCGAATGTGGCGAATTCTAGTCTATAATCATTTGTACCGTGTTATATAAAATGCGAAGGAATTTTCAAAAAACAAGTGTACGTAATAGCAAAGAGATTCCTATTTTCAAAATACCAACATGGTACGGTAGTAATGATATCAATATGTGTATAGAACACGATATGGCATGATAAATAATTATCCTAAATTAATACGGTTTGGATTCAACGATATTATACGCAAGTAAGTAAGTAAGTAATGTTGTAATGTTAGTTATTGGAAAAGTAAGGGATACGAGGACGTTATTATAACATATTATTCTATAACTAGACTTGAGCCAAAATTATTGGAATGGTATTACGGGCGTATGTTGGTAAGTAGTTGGTTTTTCGTAATAATAATAATGTCTAATAATCTCAAACTAGGGAATTCCCTGGACTATGAGAAACAGACTAATGAAATTAACTTCGGTGGCACGCCCTGCCAGACACATATTTAGGAAAGTTCACCTAGCACCTTACGTGCTAAGGTCTTCAAAATGAAAAAAAAAGTGAAATTACATGTTCTTCATTACACTTGAAATTTGAATTTAATCATTGAAGCAAAATTTAAATCCAAGATTTGGCAGTATATGGCTTAGACGTCTTAGCTTGTTTGGAAGGACGAAAAGTTTTAGTTCTGTTATAAGTTCGGAATTAAATTTTATTTATTTATTTATTTATATATTTATTGAGCATTATATAATAAGACAACAAATAATTAAGAATTGATAACCTAATATATTTAAACAAATAATTCATTCCTGTAAAAACTGTAACTACAGCAACCCGCCATTTTGTTTCTTTTTTTCAAGGACTTTATGGCTTTTTTTTTCAATATGGCCAAAAGACAACGATTTCATGCGAAAAAATGCCAGAAAATGTAACTATGAAAAAAATTACAATAAAACAAATTTGGTAGTATGGTAAATTAGACGCCTTAACCTATCAAGACGGAAGAAATTTTAATATACTACTCGGAGTTTAATTTGGGGTTTAGTCCCAACTATCCGATGTGACACATTTTATCATAATAATCTCGTTCTTTCTTAAAAACGATGCAAAGAAAATCTAATACCAGGGTGTATTCTAACAAGAATGCACGTAAGTCTATGTGTGTGAACGTGACTCATTCGGTGGAGCACGGTTAGTTATTTCCTATTGATCTGTTCTAATTAAACGGAGCGACGCCCTGGGGGAAAGTGCTTTATGGATTAGAAACCTTATAGTGTGAGTAGTAATTCTATTTTAATGCTCGTATTCTTTGTGTGACGTAATAATAACGTATAAAGTATATCATTAATTATTATACGGTGTGATATGATTATTATTATTTTGGTGGTTTGTATTGGATGGTTTTTATCAATATTAGATGTAACTGGTTGATTACTATACCATCTCCATCTGCCGCCGTAATCATGGGACTTGTAAAGAGTCGGAAACGTTGAAAAAATAGTTTCCTTTCCTATGTGTTTGTATAGTTTTAACAAGCTTTTTGAAAAGGTCACAGCCTCTCTTTACATTACAAAAAAAGCCTAACAATAGAAAAATATTACAATAAAATGTTTATAAGCTAACAGATCACAGTCACTTCAGTTTTAAATTAAAAAACAACCGATTGTAACGAGGAAATACATCTCGTTCCTCAATTTCAATACATATCGCTCAAACACTTCCTCCGACCCCTAAACACAAACATAGTACCATCAATTACTGTCTACTGCCCTTTGTGCAATTTTCTTCACGTTACTGCATCCCTAGCAAATTCCACGCAATTCATCACTCTGCAAGAGATACAACGTTAATGCATGGGGAGTTAATGCTTGGGAGATCTTCAATGTGGTGACGAAACATTAAGAAGGGCTAAATTGAGAAAGGAAATTTTACAAAACGATATTTTTAATTTGGTTGGAAGCTAACTGCTAAATGGCAGACGATCTTAAGGAAATCGCTTATTGCCTAATATAAAAAAAAGATAGGCAAAAACACACTTAACAGGTGTAGTATTATAATTTATTAATTATTAATTATAACAGCGATACAAATTTAAAAATTGCAATCAGATAATGCGTTATTCAAGGCACATTTTCGTACAATTTCGTAACTAAAAGTATTTAAAATACAGAACCAGTTAACCTTAAAGGCTCACGTACTTGAATACTAGTCACATTCCCATTATAAACCGTACAGGTATTCCATTGAAAGCAACAATGAATAGCTATTGTACGCCAACAGACTGTGAAAGTGGGTCCAATCGATATGAAAAAGATTTTCCCCTCTAATTTCCTGACAACGGGCTTCACTATACACTAAAGACCTGTAGTACATTAGAGACTGGGAATATTTTGCAGCATTTAAATTAATTAATTGCTATCAAATGTACTTGTGTAACAGGCAACTCATTACCTTTCATTCATGGCTATGGGCTGTTATTACATTATTCCAAGAAACACAGTAAGCGCCGGGCCTGTGGCAACAATTTGGGTTTCTATGAAATTGCATGTTAATTCATAGCATGACGACGTACATCCGTTGCTTATACATATGTTGTTTTTAAAACGGTAGGAGTACATTAGATTCACATTCAAGATCAAATATGGGAGTGAAATGGCTCTAGCTTTTTCTGCGTCGTAGGCAGATGACACGGATCCCACTAGCTGTACCCAATATAGCCCTTAAAATATAATAATATCGGCATATGGCAACAAAATGGAGGCAAGGTAAGGTAATCCCTTGACAATTGTTCATTATTATGTTAGCGCCAGGTGGGTGCGCTAATAACGGCAATTTGTTCAGCTTAGCCTTTGTGTATGAGTATAGAGGATACTCGATAATATGTTTGTGAGTTTCTTTAGAGATAGATGACTGACTTTTGCTTTTGAAACTGTTAAAAAGTAGGGTCCATTATTGTATGAAGTAGGTCTATGTGAAGTGGAAAATTACCGCTTGCAAGGTCTTCATGAAAACCATTGGTAATGCAAAGACGACGACGATTAAAACCAGTATTGAATAGTTCTGTATTTTTTATTTTACTAAAGCACAAAATTATTGTATACAGTCATTATAATATCATATTTTTTTAACACGTAGGTACACTCTGTATACTTTTTCAAGGTATCATAAAACTTCTTTTGAAAATTGTGTTATAAATAAATATCATAAAACAATTCAATCAATTTCTGGAAAAATAGCGCGACACGTAAACACAGTAAACATAGTGTGAGAAACACTCGACCTGTAATTTGTTAGTTCTTAGTTCTTTGTCTCAGAGCGCACAAGTTTAAAAGATACATTTTCTACACGTACGTGAGGCGACAATCAGACCGTAACATGATTTGTTTTTATTTTGCGTCTCTCGTTTTATTCGAAAATCGCGTTACTTAAAGTAAATGAAACTATTTTTATCGGATCTAAATCGTATAGGGATATCCAACGTTTCGGGCCCTTTACAGGTCCCATGACCTCGGCTGACTAGCAGTAAGAAAAACAAGATCCGAAAACCAAATAAGTATTGGTATTAGACAACATCACATACGTTGCTCTGATCCCAAAGTAACTAGCTAAAGCATTTGTGTTATGAAAATCGGAAACAACGACGGTACCACAAACACCCAGACCCGAGACAATATAGAAAAGTTAGTTTCTACACTGACCTGGCCGGGGATCGAACCCGGGACCTCAGAGATGGCGACACCATGAAAACCGGTGTGCAAGCCACTCGACCGTGCAGGCCGTCCAAATCTTTTCATTTCCTGTGTAAGAATCTCGTAAACCTTAGAACTCGATAATCACAATACTGTTACGTCGACATAATGGTATAATTAGTTATAAAACCGGACATTAATTCAAATGTCTTTGTTAATTATCTATAAGGCACTAGATAATAACAAGTTGAAATTGGATTATTTGAGTGACGATAGAGTTTCGATACCGACCGCATTCATATTAGATACTGTGGATTCACTACATGTAATTGGTAAGAACGCTTACACAGTAGCATGCCGCCTATCCCATTAGTGGTGAAATTAATGCACAGTGCATACTGCGCCTAGTTTAGGCTGCCCCTAATTTATTGCCAAACACGGACATTGACTGGGGCGTGGTTCCAAGTTATGTGAGGTACATTGTTAAGCAAAGATAGTTGAATTTATGGCGTTGTTACGTTGAACTTGTTATGTCAAGTTTTAATAACTCACATACTACATAACATGTAGTGGTGTAACAAGTATGCCATGTTTACCAGCGTTATAGCTTACTTTGGTATTTGTTGTGTGTAACTCTAGCGAGTTTGTGCTACTCTGTATAAATTCGTACTTACGATACTTTTGTGTGTTTTGAGTGCAAATCACTCTACTGCTACTCAATTACCATATGCATCCCAATGGCACAGATTTGCCATAAGAAGAGAATATTATAATCTTGCGTCATAAAACATGTTATTCCTTAATTATTCGTAATGAAATTTAGCGAGTTCCAGAAAAGATCTGTAAATTTAACGTGTCATTAACTACATAATACTCCTATATACTAAATATATGATATATCTTAATTGACATGTGAATTGCAAAATATTTTCAAGTATCGCTGCTTTTTTAGAATACCAAAATAGTTCGTTTTCTTAGTTATTTATTCAGAATGTACTAAATTGTATTGTGAATAAAACACCGTAAGATTTCAATTGGTTAAAATAATAATAA